ACGTCTTTAATCCCAGTAACAGGGAGGCAGAGGCAGATGGATCTCTGTGAGTTCAAGGCCAGCCTGGTCTATAGAATGAGTTCCAGGATAGCTAAAGCTATACAGAGAAACCCTGTCTTAAAATAAATAAATGCCCAAAATTAAACAAAACAAAACCTGCTTAGGAGGTTGGAGACATGGCTCAGTCCGGAGAGCGCTCCAGCACATGCATGTGTGACCTGAGTTTGGATTCCAGTGCCCACGTCAAAGCTGGGCACAGGCTTCTGAGGTGGCTTAGCTGGGGGTAAGGGCGCTTGCTGCCAAGTCTAACTGCCTGAGTTCAGTCCCTGGAACTGTCAGGGTGGAGAGAGAACCAGCCCCTGCAAGTCGACCTCTGACCTCCGTTCTCAGGCTTTGGGCTGCTCATGTATACTCATGTACATACACACAGTAAGTGTAAGTGTGGTGATATTTTGTTTGTTCTAACAAATACAGCTTGCCTGAAGATCAGAGTGCAAAGCTAGCCACACTAGTTAGCCACAGAGGCCAGGCAGTGGTGGTGCACACCTTTAATCCCGGCACTCATGAGACAGAGGCAGATGGATCTCTGTTAGTTCAGGGCCACCCTGGGCTACATGAAATTGAACCAGTCTAAAAAAGAAAGAGAGCCCGTACAAAGGTGATCCCAGCACTTGTAGTCACATGCCTTTAATACCAGCACTAGGAGGTGAAGACAGGAAGGGATAGGGCTGGGCGAAGAGGACTATAAGGCAGGAGGAGACAGCAGCTCACTGCAGTCTGAGGAGCAGTGCAGTCTAAGTAAGTCTGAGGATGCAATTTGAGACAGGTTGGCCCCTTTGGTCTGAACATTGGTAGGAGTAAGAATTCTCTAGTGGCTGGCTGTTTTGCTTCTCTTAAGTATTAACTCCAATATCTGACTCTGGGTTTTTATTATTAAGACCAGTTAGAGCTCATGCTAGATTTAACATTTTTGTAAAAAGAAAATATGGTTGAAGATTGAGGAACAACCAGATGTTAGCATGCACACATAAACATACAAAAGCCTATTTTTTTTTTTAAAGATTTTATTTATTTATTATGTGTACAACATTCTGCCTCCATGTATATCTGCACACCAGAAGAGGGCACCAGGTCTCATAACGGATGGTTGTGAGCCACCATGTGGTTGCTGGGAATTGAACTCTGGACCTCTGGAAGAGTAGTCAGTGCTCTTAACTTCTGAGCCATCTCTCCAGCCCCCTCAAAAGCCTATTTTTGAGGCAGGGTCTCGTGTAGCTCAAAGGCTAGCATCCAAGTCACTACTACAGATGGGATAACCTTGAATGATGATCCTTCTGTCTCTACCTCCTGACTGCTGGGTGGGATTCCAGGCGTGTACCACCTCACCTGGTTTACATAGAAATGGAATTAAATCTAGGACTTCATACATGCTATGACACATGTCTAGCCCATAACTTTTGTCTTTTGACAGTTTCACCCTGTAGCTTAGGCTAGCTGGCAGTTCTCCTGCCTCTGCCTCTCCAGTGGTAGGATTTCAGCCTGCCATACCACACAGACTGTTGTTCCTTCTTTTCTCCCCAGTGTTGGGGACTGCACTGTTGGCCTCAAGACTGTTAGACAGGCAGCCTGCCTCGGAACTTGGCTCCAGTCCTCCGCCCTGAAGCCATCTTTGACTTGCTATTCTGGGCTTGGACAGTTGAGTTCCTTTTCTGTCCCTTCTTGGTGCTGTTTTGGTTTGCCTTTTGGCTTTTTGAGACCAGGTTCTCACATGCTAGCGTAGAATTCAGTGTAGCCCAGCTAGCCTTGCACTTAGGGTGGTCCTCCTGCCTCCCTGGCACTGTCACAGGCATGTGCCACCATGTCCAGTGCTGCGTTGTTTTGAAGGAACATCCATTCTGTTTTCTCCTCTTAGTCTGCACCTGTCTGGAGTGGGAAAAGTCCATTTCCTTCTGTCTTCTCTAGTACTAGGAGTCAGCAGCTAGCCTCGTGGTTTGGAGGGAAGCAGGAGGCAGACAGGTGGGTGCCAGCTCGCTCCTAAGCGCGTAGCTAGGGGCCCAACACTGGTGGTTCTGTGCAAGAGGTGCTGCCCATGGCTACTCCTCCCTCCATGGGATGGGGTACACACACTCCCTCTGTTTACAAATAAGTAATGCAAATGAGAGGGTGTGGGGGCGGGGGGAGGGGGCAATGCTGTAATTGCTAGAGGTTAACATAGACTGTGGACCACTACCTCCTTCCCACAGGGAGCTGCCAAAGTGGAAAATGTCCCTAATCTGCTTGCCAAAGAAGTAGGCTCAGCTCAGTACCTCCAGTTGGCTGGTAAAACCCCAACCTCAGCCATGGGTTGATTTTAAGGTTCAGGGACTTCAGGCTGAGATGTGGCTCAGTTGGTATTAGTGCTGCAGCACAAGCATGAGGACCCGACTCCCCAGCACCCACATAAATAAAAGCCAAGCAAAGCTACAAGTGACTGTAACCCCACCCAGTGTGGGACAGAGGGGTGTGGAGGAGTTAGATGGATCCCTGAAGCTCATTGGCCAGCCAGCGTAGTCAGGTGGTGAATTCCAGATTCAGTAAAACCCTGTCTTGGAAAATAAAGTGGAGAGCAGTAGAGGCCACCTGACGTCTCTGGCAGTACACACACACCTATGCACACGTCCCCACACTCAAACAGGTACAAAAGAATGATTTGGGCATCTTTTATATCCTAAAGGCCTTCCTCTTTCTTATCTTCCTTTAGGCCAACCAGGATCTCCCAACCCGAAGACAGCAGGCAGCCCAGTAATGTGATCAGACAGCCTTTGGGTCCTGATGGGTCACAAGGCTTCAAACAACGCAGATAAATGCAGGCAAGAAAGGATGCCGCTGCCGCCGCCGCCGCCATCGCCTCCTGGATTGTCTGCCATGGGTTGCACTGCCGTGGCAGACATCTGGACTTGAGCAGAGGGAACGACCTGACTTACTTGCACTGTGATCCCCCTTGCTCCGCCCACTGTGACCTTGAACCCCATGCACTGTGACCTCTGCCTCCCCACCTTCCCACTGTGATTGGCATGTTGACAAGGGCTGTCCCAAGTCAATAGAAAGGGAAAGGGTGGGGATTAGGGGAGGATTGGGGGAACCTACCAAGGACTCAGAGTAGAGGGTCAGACAGTGCTACTTGGGGTAAAGCCAGTGCCAGCAATAAGTTTATCATGCTCATTAATTTGGGATTTCAAAACACAAATGAGAACTGCCCTCACCCACCCCAAGTGCATGTCGCCATCACTTAAAAGTAAGTTCCATTGAAAATATCCTTTCCTTTTTTTTCTTCCTATTTTTGTTTGTTTATACAAATATCTGATTTGCAAGAAAAAGTGCATGGAAGGGGTTTTAGCAGTTTAATGAATTTTTAATTGAGAAAGGGTAGTTTGGTAGTCACTTAAAGATGTTTCTAGGAAATTTGCTAGAAACATTAACCAATAGGATTTTGGTGAGCTTAGCTTCTGTATTCCTACTGCTGCCCAGAAAAGGCAGGGCTCTGGAGCCCCCAGTAGTAGATGAGCACTGTGCCTATATTGCCTTCCTCCAGCTAAGTCCCAGCTAAGTTGCCTAGAGACAGCTCAGAGAGCCAGGGGGAGGGTGCCAACCCCACCTCTAGTATTGTGGGAAATGGGGAAAGTGACAGATTTCCCCTTTCCATACCCCTCAGGGTGGCTCCCTACCAGACAGGTTTGCTGCTTCTAGAGGTGGGTAGGGCAGGGAGTGTCGGGGAGGAGACTATACTCGGGGCTCAGAGCAGGCAGAGGTGGCACTTGTCCAGTGTTTGCTGTCAGCACAAGCCCAGAGGAGTCTGGCTCAGGACTCCAGGCCTCTGCTGGTGTGGTCAGAGGTAGACAGACTAGAACATTTAAGGACCTGTGGCGTGCCACATCTGTTGATAGCCCTGGCTCAGAAACTATACCTGGTACGTTTCCTGGGTGAAATGAGTACCATAGGAGTAGAAAAGTTGGAGAAGAGTTGGGAAAAGAAAAACTTCGCATTGCTGAGGCAGCTGGTTGATAGGTTTCTCAGAGGCCTCTGCTGCCCTTTCCCTTCTTATCAGAACGAGGCTGGTATGCAGGCCATTTCTGTCCCTGAGCCTGGAGATTTGCTTTGGCTCTTGGTGGGGAGAGAGAGGCTTGAGGGGGTAGCTGTGTCCCACCAGGTGCTCTCAGGCTTCCTAGTCTTTCCCATGCACTTCGCCTTATCCCTCAGCCAGCCTGATGGCCTCCCCTCTCCTGGCCAGCACACATGTTTGGGAGTGGGTGCTGTGGTGTGAGATTAGGGCAGCTATGGTGGCCAAGGTGGTGAGCTGAGTTTTATAGAATCCCACCACATTTGGTTCCCTGGCTTATGCCCTGTAGCAATGGCCCACAACATCCATAACACAGCCCTAGACCTTCCTGAAACCAGGGGCCTTCTATGAGGGAGCTGGAACAGAGCCTCAGCAAGAGGGTTGGCCACCCCCAGGAGGGGGCAGGAAGGGAGTTGGCTGCTAGCTCCTTGTCTAGGGCCTACCCACAGGGGCTGGTGGTTTCTGGTTGGAGGACAGACTGTGCTTTCTGTGGAGAAGGGTGCAGAAACCCTGCTTGCCCCACCCCCTCTAGTGGGAGCTAAGGACAGCTGGTGTCTGCTTTTTGAGAGCTTGCAGGAGTGGCTCTCCCATCTCACTCTGGCCAAAGAAGGCCCTGCCCACAGTGTACTTTCGCCTGCCCACCAGCAGTCTTGCATTTGGCCTCCTAGACGGAGAGGTGGCTGGCACAACAAGAAAGAAAGAAAGAAAGAAAGAAAGAAAGAAAGAAAGAAAGAAAGAAAGAAAGAAAGAAAGACTGATGTTGGGGAGGTGGGGGGGCATGGGGAACGGTTTGGATTGTGTGTGTGTGTTTGTGAGTTTTTGTTGTGGGGGGGCATGGGGAACGGTTTGGATTGTGTGTGTGTGTTTGTGAGTTCTTGTTTGTGTGTGTGTGTGTGTGTGTGTGGTTTTTTTTTTCCCTTTTTTTTTTCCTTTTTGTAGTTGTTTATAACTCCATAAGTGCTTTTTTTCTTTTCTTTCTTTCTTCCTGTCTTAAGTTGCAGGCTTTGGCTTGGAAATCCCCAGGGGGATGAGGGGCAGGAACCTGAGGCTGCTGCCCCTTTGTCTGTCTTCATGGTACTGTCCCTTCCCCCAGCTCTTCCTGGAACCCATGAGCCAGGCCTCAGCCCTTCCAGCTAACCGCTTCCCATGAGCCACTACTCTGATGTCAGCCTATAACCAAAGGAGCTGGGGTCCAGGTCTGGTGACCAGCCCTTCTCAGTCCCCTCAATCAGGGTGCTCCCCACCTGCAGGCAGGAGGCAACACCCTATCTGCTGCCATCAGCCCCTTCCAGAGCCCACCTGTCCCACCCAGCCCTGTCCTGCCCTGCCATACCCTGCTCTGCCCCATCTGGGGGTGCTCTGCTCAGGGATGGGCTGGCAGGGCTGCATCCAGTCTCCCTGGTGAGCAGAGACTCAAGAAAACCTCTGGGGTCCTGCTCTGGTCATATGACCCTAGGGGGGACCCTTGGGCATCTGCACAGAAGGGACTGGGAGGGAGGGCCGCACCCTGCAGTCTCGCTCTGCTGGTGTAGCAGGCAGCTCCCCACCCTAACCCCCACCGTGGGCTCCTGAGTCGGCAGATTAAGCATTTTATAAATTGTATTTTAAATACATGTTTTAAACTTGTCAGACATTTGTCCTCGTTTCTGGCTTCCTATCTCATACTGTGGTTGCTTGTCCAGCCCTGGGGGTTTCTGCCCTTGCAGAGGTCAGCTGCTCTCAGAGGCCGAGGCTTTCTGGAGTACTCGGCTTAAGTCCGCTACTGTAGGGCTCCCAAGTCTTGAGTAGGGAGACAGGGGTAGCTGCAGTAGGAAGTCACATAGAGTGGTGAAAATGGGGCCTTCACTGACATCAGATACAAAAGCTGAGGTTCTTGGTGTTTATTGGCTTACCAGGCCATGAAAGCAAACTCCCAAAGCCAGACTCTGCCCCACGGCCCAGCTGTCTATAGGTCTTGAACTTCTGGAGCCAGAATTCCAGACAATCAGTGGGTTCGGGCTGGCACGGAGCTAAGCCACTTTCTGCTGTCAGAGCTGTGTTCCCTGGGGAGGAGAGGCGGGCAGAAAGATAGCATATTTGGCCCTCTTCCCATAGTCCTGCCAGGTTCACAAACCATCCCATGTAGTCAGGGGAGAGGCAGCTTTTAGAAGTGGAGCCAGGCCGGGCATTAGTGGCACACGCCTTTAATCCCAGCACTTGGGAGACAGAGACTGGCAGAACTCTGTGAGTTTGAAGCCAGCCTGGTCTACATAGGGAGCTCCAGGGCAGGCTCCAAAGCAATACAGAAACTCTGTCTCAAAAAACAAAAGAAGTGGAGCCAGAAGTTAGGGTTGGGGGGGGCTGATCCCAAGTCCTGGGGACTCTGAAGGGAACATTCCCTTCCCAGTTTCTAATCGTCCCATAATTCAGTAAAAAGCCAAGGGGTTCCCATGCTTGAGGAACCAGGAGCAACACCATCCTAAGAAGGATGACAGGCTCAGGACTGCTGTGAAATGCTCAGGCATCTGTGAAACTGCCTCTCTGGTACAAAGGCTTACAGCAAAGGTTACTTTCTTCCCTGCCCTGTCTGTCCATCCATCCTCCCTGGAGTAAGTAGTTTCCCAACATAGTCTCTTTGAAAGATGGATTCCCCAGTTGTTAGGCCAGGGGCCACGTCACAACAATAGATGGGCCCGAGGTGCTGGCCCTCAGTACCCACCTGCTTCCTTGCTGTCCTGACTGGAAAAAGAGGCTATGGAGGTCAGGGCCCAGGCTTGTAGAGACACACTGATCCAGCACAGGATGGTTATGGCTACCCTGCTTTCGACGGACCACCTTCTTCTCCAGCCTCGGGCAGAGTGGGATGCAGGGCACCTGGGCATAAGGACTCTGTAGGTTGGCAGCTGGGATAGGAGGGAACGAGAGAGTGAGAGCAGGGCCAGCCTAGTGAAACCCTACGTTTGCTATATAATCAGCAGAGTGGGTTTAGGCAAACCCTTAATGTCTAAGCCTCTACGATGGAGAAGTTATTGGTACCCACTGCACGGTAGATGACATGAAGTGTATGACATGGAAGGTTGAGCACACAGTAAAGGCTGGCCATAGCGTAAAGAGAAGCTTGCCCAGGAGAATGGTCAAGCACAAATCTGGGGGTGAACCTAAGTGCAAACTGCCCTTGACAGCATACTATCTGGGGAAGTCACTGAAATTCCCTTGGTTCTCATTCCTGTCAAGTGGGATGATTGTAGGGCACACCTACAAAGGGCCTTGCAGTGGAACTGACTCTGGTGGGCTCTCACATGGTAGTTCTTGAGCCAGCCTTGTCTCAACGATAAGGCGGGCAGGTAGAGTCCAAAGTTGGGTGATGGGGACCAGCCCTATTTGGTAATGGTTCCCATCCAGCTAAGCCCTCGGCTACATCCAGGGGAATCTGGCCACATGCTCAGGGATCTGCTTGCCAGCCCAGGCTCCTCACTGGTCCTCACCATAGTTCTGCTGCTTCAGCCGGCTCAGGATCCTGAGGACCCTTCGTTCTGGGACCTCTATGGTCTCTACTTGGTGAGAATTGTAAGAAAGCTTCTTCCTCGATCGCAGCCCGCCCGCCGTTGACTCCGTGTCTCGGGTCTTGGAGGTGCCTTCCTTTAGCTTCTTCTGGTAGTAGCTGAGAAGGCAACACCCTGCAGCTCAGCCTGGCTGTGGTTAATTCACCCCTTCCTCCTGACACCCCCCCCTTCTGGCAGTACTGAAGCCTTGGCAGGGCTTGGGGGGGGGTGTCAGGAGACATAATCCCCTTATGAAACAAGGAAATGGCTCTGTCTGCCTTGTTGCTGCAAGTCACTTCATGTCGGAGCTTCAGATCTCCCCCACACTGCTAGATGGGGGCCGAATGTACGTATGCTGGAGGATTGGACGAGATGAGACCCATCTTGGCACCAGCCATATAGAGATTGGTGAGTATTGTACACCGGTTTCTATTTTATTTTCACTTAGATACAGCTCTGCTTATAAACCAGCAGAGCAGGGATGGGTGTGGCTTAGCTGCTGGAGTGTTAGCCTAGCATTTAGGAAGCCTTGGTAAACAGCTGCAGTGAGCTTGGTGGCATGTGCTTGTAATCCTAGCACTCTGGAGGTAGATGTGGGAGGCTCAGAAGCTCACAGTCATTCTTGGCCATATGGTGAGTTCTAGGCCATCCTGGGATACTTGAAGTCCTTGTCTTGAAACAACAAACCCAGCCGTGCAGCTGGCCCCTCACCACCTCAGCTGCAGCTTAAGGCCATGTCACAGAGTCTGCTGTCTTTGTATATACTAGCCAGGCTCCCACCCCATGCTTGCTTGCTTTTTATTTCTGTTGGGAGACAGGTCTTGCTGTATAGCCTTGGCTGTCCTAGTACTGGCCCAGGTTGGCCTCAAACTCATGGTGATCCTTTGACCTCTTGCCTCCTATGTTCTGACATTACATGCATGACCTTCTTAACTCATAGCTTGCCTTTTACCTTATTATAAATACACATAGCAGCAAATAGAGTGTTAACTGTTTCCGCTGGCCTGGAGTAGTGAATGGCTGCCACATACAAGGATCCTGTGTTTGTGTTAGCCTGGCCTCTTACTCCAGCACTCACTTCTGTAGGGACCACTCAGGCTGCTAGGTGCAAAGGAGTTAAACACCCGAGGGCCACCACTGGTTCCCTTTCTGCCCAAGCCACCACTCACAGGTCTTCAGATCGGGGGTGTGCAACTCAGTGATATGTCCTTGTGTTGCCTCTCCCTCTGCCACCCACCCCTTTCCCTCCTCCTCCCCCTGAGTCAACTACCTGGACACAGAATGGCAGTCAGATCATATTTGACTGCAAAGATACTGTGTTGGCAGTGATGGGCTCTCTGAGGGAAAGGGAAGGGGTGGGGATAGTGACAAGGGGGCTGTTCGCTTATGGTGACAAGAGATACCAGATGAGGTGAGGAGCACACACTTCAAGCATTCATGGCCAAGGGATGGTACAAGAAAAGGCCACCTGGTGGGAAGGAGGCAAGAGGAGCTGGAGCCTGAGCACTCTGCTGGCTGCTATGATGGCTGGGTATGCTCCTCAGTGCTGGCAGGCCCTCAGGACTGGATGCTGGCCCTGCTATATCCCTCATGGAAGGTGGGTTGACTTGAGACGATAGAAAGCTGACTCCACAGCTGCCCACAGAGGTTGAATCTATCTCTTCTGTGAAACCAAGGCTATCCCCAAAACAACACAGGGAACGAAGACAGAGCAGAGGGTCACTGTGGCGCTGGGACTGAGAAACTGTAGCCAGCTCAGTCACAGCTGGCTCCTCTCTCCACTTCCTTGTGTCTCACCTCGGAAACTGGGTGCCTGGGCAGCTTTGACTCCCTACTTGCAGCTTCTAGTCCACTGGTGTGAATTGTAGCCCACTGGAGGCCCGTTCCTTAACTGACATGCCTCTGTAGTTTCTGTACTAGCTAGACTACCCAGTGAGCAAAGAATAAATGCACTGGCTCTGGTAGCCATTACAGGCTCAGAAACCCCACCTCCTGTATGTTGTTTCTCAAGAAGCTTTGGTCTGACACAAACCAAAGGAGGAGGACTATCCATGGAAAACAAGAGCGCTAACGTAGGAGGGACATGGAGTTACCAGAACAGGCCTGGAGAGCTGGCTCAGTGGTTAAGAGCACTTCTTGCTCTTCCATATTATCCAAGTTCAGTCCCCAGCACTCAACGTCATGTGGCTTTAAACTGCTTGTAACTCCAGCTACAGAGCCCCTGACACCTTGTGCTAGCTAGCCTCTTGGGAGTACCTGCACACACACAGATACAGGGACCTGCCCCTGAAGAGGCCCTGCCTGATGCACATTACAGCTGACTTGTGTTTTTCTAGTTCTTGTACAGTCTCATGTAGCCCAGGCTGGCTTTTAACTCAGTGTAGCCAAGGATGACCTTTCACTCCTGATCCTCCTGCTTCTACTTCTTTTTAGAACTCTTTTTTTTTTTTAAGATTTTAATTTATTTATTATGTGTACAACATTCTGCTTCCATGTATATCTGCACACCAGAAGAGGGCACCAGATCTCATAAGGGATGGTTGTGAGCTACCATGTGGTTTCTGGGAATTGAACTCAGGACCTTTGGAAGAGCAGTTGGTGCTCTTACCCTCTGAGCCATCTCTCCAGCCCCTGCTTCTACTTTTTAAGTGCAGGGATTAGGGGGTGCATGCCACCACATCCAGTTCTAAAATCAACGCTTTTGAAGGCTCTCAGAACCAAAGGGTGAGAAGTTCAAGAAAGTCACATGTTGGGCTGGTCTGTAGTTCAGTAGGAAGGGCTTGCAAAGTAACAGGAAGTAATGTGTGAACAAAGTGGGGATACATCTTTTGATTTTTTTGAGACAGGATTTCCCTGTACAGCCCTGGCTGTCCTGGAACTCACTCTGTAGACCAGGCTGAACTCAAATTCAGAAATCTGCCTGCTTCTGCCTTCTGAGTGCTGGGATTAAAAGTGTGCACCACCACCACCCAGCTGGGAATAGATCTTTGTGTTGTCATTTGTATGGAGGCCAAAGAAATTTTCAAATTGTAACTCATTGAGCTTTATGGCTTTAACTCATTTGAATCTAGAGTAAGAAAAGCGTATTTGTGTTGTGGTTATTTAATTACACTGTATGAAGATGTATGTATATTTTTACCTCACCTGCCTAAGGCACCTTCTGATTTGTTTAATAAGAGCTGAATGGCCAAAAACTAGGCAGGAGAGTCTAGGCAGGACTTTCAGGCAGAAATAGGCACTCTGGAAGAATCTGAGGTTGGGGGAGGGGATTTGCCAGCCAGACTCGGATGAAGTCAAACATTCAGTATAGAGGAGAGGTACAGAGCCACATGACTGGACATAGATTAACATAAATGAGTTAATTTAATTTAAGTTTTAAGAGATAGTTGGGAACAAACTCGAGCTAAGGCAAACTTTCATAATTTAAAAAGTTTCTGTGCCATTATTCAGGAATGGGCAGTCCAAAGGAAGTTCAACTTTATATGTGTGGTTGTGTGGTCAGTCAGCTGGCAGAGTACTTGGCTAGCATACATGAATCCTGGGTTTGTCCCCTGCACCAAACTAACCAAGTGTGGTTGTGCACACCAGTCATCTTAGCACTCAGGAGATAGAGACAGGAGCATCAGAACTTGAAGGTCATCCTTAGCTATAGCAAATTGGAGTCTAGCCTGAGCTACATGTGCCCTCAGTGAAATTTGAATTTTTATTTATTTATTTACTTATTTATTTATTTTGGGGCAGAGTCAGTCTCACTATGCAGCCTCTGCTGGCCTGGAATTCACTGTGTAGACCAGCTTGATCTCAAACTCACAGAGCTCCCCTGCCTCTGCTTCCTGAGTACTGAGTACTGGGATTAAAAGCATGGACTGTTGCACTTGGCCAACTTAAAATGATTGGCCTTTAGGAACTGGGCACAGTGAATTGTGCCCACAATTCTAATGCTTGTGGGTGAAGCTGGGAGAGCTCCGCTCCCAGCCCAGCTGGGTAACACAGATCCTATCACAAAAAATAAAAAAAGTAAAAAAAATTAACTCACATCTTACCCTGGGGCCCAGTGTCTTACAGCTTGGAGGTGTTTTAGCCTGGAGGTGTTTTGTAACGGTCTCTCTCAAGTAAAAGTACTTGTTCAAGCAAATGAGCTGGGAGCTAAGCAGCCACCTGCCATCATAGAAAGAACCACAAATTCCTGGCCTGTTGGTATAGCTCGGTGACAGAGTAAAAGGGAAGGAGGGACCGCAGGGCAAAGGAAGGGGTAATCCAAGAATTTGGGGATCTGAGACAGGAGGATTGCCATCCTGGGCTCCTGGGCCACCTGAGACCTTGTCTCAAGGGGGTGGGAGGAAACAGGAGGAAGAACAATGGTAATTTATCATCTGGTATTTGGTGGATGTTTTCTCAAAAGTGAGTGACGTTAGCTGACCACTCTAGGTTAAACCTATGACAGCCCTGAGCCCGTGCTGTAATCCCAGCTGAAGCCACAGCACAAGTAAGGGAACAGTGAAGGAAGAGGAAGCCCAAAGTGTGGGAGAGTCTGCCCACTGTGCATCTGCTGAGGAATGATGTCCAGAATGTATTGAGAACTCAAAAGCCGAAGGGTGGTGACGCACACCTTTAATGCCAGTACACCAGAGGCAGAGGCAGGTGGATGGATCTCTGTGGGTTCCAGACCAGCCTGGTCTATACAGTAAGTTCCAGGACAGCCAGGGCTACAGAGAGCAACTCAGACTCGAAAAACCAAACAAAAAACGAAAAAGAGCCCAGAGTCAAGAAAACAAACCAATCAAAAACTGGGCTAAGGACGTAAACAGTCCTCAAAAGAAATAGAAATGGCATTGGGTGGTGGTGGCACACAACTGTAATCCCAGCACTCGGGAGGCAGAGGCAGGCAGACCTCTGTGACTTTGAGGCCAGCTTGGCCTACAGAGTGAATTCCAGACCAGCAGGGGCTGCATAGCGAGACTGCCTCAAAAGAAAATCAGGAGTTCAAGGCCAGCCTTGGCTATCTGTGGAGTTCTAGGTCAGCCTGGGCTATATGAGAATGAGACTGCCTCAAAAATAAATAAATAAATAAATAAATAAATAAATGTAAAAATTCAAATTTCACTGAGAGCACACGTAGATCATGCTGTCGAGGATGTGGGGAAAGGGGAATCCTCACCCAATGTTGGTGGGACTGAAGACTGGTGTAGCCACTCTGGAAATCAGTGTGAATTCTCAGAAGGCTAAAAACAAATCTACCACGCAAGTATTGAAATGTAGTCATTCAGGACAGGAAGTAGAGGGCGAGGTTTGGAGATGGTCTGGGCCTTCCAACTCCACCACTTTTAGCCTGAGGATGATCATGTTTACCTAGCCTGTAGTCAGATGGGCTACCTACTGCCTGCCCATGACCCCTCGTACAAGATTCCCTCTCTAAGTGCTTTGGGAAGGATCACAGTAGTCTGCTGAAACTGCTGAACCAGGAGGACTGAGTGTGGGGACTGCCATTACCTCTCTTCCCACTGGGAGAGCCTGGCTGAGCCTGAAGCCAGCACCCTGAGATGGGAGAGGTGGAGAAATAAAACTTGACTGTTATCATCCAGCTTCCTGGATTCAGCCATTTCTGAGGCCCTAGCTGATTATTTGAACGATGCATTCCCATTCTGCTTAAGGCAGTTTAATTGGGGTTTTCTTGCAGTTGCAGTTGAGATTCTTAACCCTCAACTGTCTTCAGCTGCTGAAGCAATAGCTGCCGTTTCTGCCTACGTCCCCCGCCCTCAGCAAGCCAGCCCCTCTTACTTTGTGATCTCTTCTAGGGCCACCTCCGGCAGGGCCAGCATTTCCACCAGCAGAGAGAGGATCTCAAAGAACAGTGTGTAGGGGTTCGGGGGCGACATATCCATCAGGACATTCTGTTCTGGGGACACAGAATAGTGGCTTCCATTACTCTTAGGTGGTCTCTGCTGTACCCCGAGTCTCCAGGTCCTGCTTCCAGTTCTGACTCCACTGGGCTGACCTCCACTCACCCACAGAGCAGAAGAAGCGCTTGGTGTCTGTCATCACTGCCAAGAAGTCTTTGAAATCCACATGACCATCTCCTGCAGTGTCAGAAATAATGGTGAGTGGGGGCCTTCTGCAGCAGGCCCAGGTACTGCCAGCCAGGTGTGGCCCTGGTGTCCCCGAGTACCCCCACCCCACCCACCCCTGGTGGGTGGAAGATTGGAATGGTAGTGCTGAATCAGCAGAAAATGTGGACAGGAAAAGCCAAAAATTACAATCTTCTAGTTAGAAAGCTACTGAACCAGGACGGCGCTCGTAGCCCAGTTGGTAGAGCGTTGGTCTAGCAAGCACAAAGTGCAGGACTTCACTTCCCCAGTGCCACATAAACCTGAGGTAGAGGGTTGAAGGTTACTTGAGGGTCATCCTTGGCTAGGTAGCCAGCTCCATGCCAGCTCCATGCCAGCCTGAGCTACACAAGACCCTGTCGAGGAATATAAAACTACTGGACCTTGTATTTTTTTAATTTATTTATTTTTATTCTATGTGCATTGGTGTTTTGCCATGTGTGTCAGGTTCCCTGGAACTGGAATTATAGACAGTTGTGAAATGCCATGTGGATGCTGGGAATTGAACCTGGGTCCTCTGGAAGAATAGTCAATGCTCTTAACCACTGAGCCATACCTCCAGCCACTGGACCTTGCGTTCTTGAGACAGCAGTGTGAGTTCAAAACCCAAGTCCACCAATTCCCATTCATGTGACCTGGGTCAAGTTTCTGAACCCCAGGAAGGTTTAGTTTTCTCGCCCTGGAGTGGAGACAGTCAATAGGGCTGCATGCCCACTAAAGGCCAGCAGCTGTCTGCACTGAATACTGGTCTCTGCATGAGACTGTGTACCTACAGGATTCTAGCTAGACTCAAGGGCCCTGCAGCATCCACCAGACGACCATCAGTAGCCTCATCTCATGCCAAGCTCCCTGAAGGCAACACTCTCCCCTTTCAGTCTTTGTTCATGCCCTCCCTAGTCATGGGTGTCACCCTCTTGTCATGTTTCCTCATTGTTACATTTAATATTTCCTGTGAGGGGCAGCAATACGCTTGCCACATCACAGGTGTGGAGGAGAGAATACATCTTTTGGGAGTCAGTTCTCTCCTTCCACCATGTCAGTGCCAGGGATCAAACTCAGGTCATGTTTAGTGGCAAGCTAAGCCACGTCACCTCCCCTTTCTCAGAGATTCAAACCGGGTCAGATCCCTCAGCAGGCTGACTCCTAAAGCTCCTGTCACACATGTGACACCTGGAACTTAAGACTCTGAGAGACAAGGACTGTACATTTTGTCCCACATTGTGTCCCGGGGCTCAGGCTGGTGGCAACTCCGTTGATGTTCTCTGAGCTGCTTGACAATGGACGAAGGCATAAAGACAGGGGCGGGATGCTTAGGACTTAACCCTGGCCATTGATGGAGTTCAAGGCTCTTGTCCCTGTGCACATTGGGCAGAGCTAGGTCGGCTAGGTTTGAACCCCAGAACTTTTGTCTGCTTCTTCGACACACCCCCTATTTCAAGGTGTCTGTGTGTGTGAGGTGTCTGCGATGGCAGAGAGAGCAGTCATGAGCAGTGGTCAGAACTCAGTTCTCCATGGCCCTACTCTTCCCTGTGTCAGGCCACAACCTGCGATATTCAGGCACCTCGTGGCCACTTCTCAGCGACTTCTTCTTCCTTCTCTCTTTGCCTGACTCCTGCTTAATCTGGCACCACTTGGCTTGAGTGCCACCTCCTCCAGGAGGCCTTCCTTCCTGATCCTCATCTTCCAAGCTGCTGTAACTGTTGTTTCCATTTGCTTTGCTTAACTTCTGTGTCAGCCCTTGCCCTTGAAAACAGCAGGGCTCGTGTATCTTACATATCTCTATTCGCGGTGCCCTGCACAGGAACACCCACAGAAAGCCTTCCATACTTGTTGCACGGGTAACGCTAACAGCTGCTGTCTCCTGGCCTGCAGGGCACTGTCCCACCTTTTGCCTGGCTTACTCCATTTTATCTTACAGAACTTGATGAGGAGGTTGCTACCAATAGCTCCATTTTATAGACAGAGAAACTGAGGTCTAGTAAACTGTAGTGACTTGACCAAAGCCATAAGGCTAGTAAAAGAAATGTAAGAGTCTTGGTGGACGGTTGTGGCATACACAGTTAATCCCAGCATTCGGGAAGCAGAGGCAGGTGGATCTCTGAGTTCAAGGCCAGCCTGGTCTGCAGAGCAAGTTCCAGGACAGCCAAGGCTACACAGAGAAATCCTGTCTTGAGAAACCAGATAGATAGAGATATATAGAAGAAATGCAAGGGTCATGGAGGAACACTTGATGTGCACAGCCTCCTGAGGTCACCTACACCTTTGGTCAGGAGGTAGGTCCTAGTCACCTCTGGATCCCCAAAAGGTGGCACTGCACAATGGTTCAGGGAACATTAACTTCCAGACCCAAGGCCAGCTTGCTACAGTCTTTGTGAGACCCAGGGTGGGAGAAAAATGCAGACAAAATGGGTTCAGGTGTTAAGGACATTGGACTCTTTCCCTGAGCTTTATATCAAGCAGCGATCCCACATGTCGATGCTGCCCCTGTCTGGGGCTCAGGGAAACCCCTTTGCTCACCGTTGACGTCGGCACTCATCAGGGCTTCTTCTACCTGGCTGGGAGTAAGGTTGAAGCCGATTAGGAGCATGATGTTCTTGAGGCTCCGAGCATCCACCTCGCCAGGGCCATTAAAGATCTCAAAGTAGCTGCGGAAGGCTGTGGAGGGAGACGGGTTACCAGGTGGGGCGTTCCTGCACTTCTTTTTTAAAGATTTATTTATTTATTTATTTATTTATTGTGTATGCAACATTATGCCTACATGTTTGCCTGCAGGCCAGAAGAGGGCACCAGATGTCATTATAGATGGTTATGAGCTGTCATGTGGGTGCTGGGAATTGAACTCAGGACCTCTGGAAGAGCAGCCAGTGCTTGTAACCTCTGAGCCATCTCGCCAGCCCTCTTTTTTCCTTTCTAACTTTTGTGCATGTTATAGTATGTGTGGTATGCTTGGTGTATGTGTGTACATGTGACGAGGAAGATACAGGTTTCCAGCTCTATTACTCTGTTTTATATTCCCTTGGGTCAGTGAAAACATTCTGGGAAATCAGAGGAAATGAGCCCCTATGTTTGAGAAGGTTCCAGACCTTAGGAAGGAGTACAAAGCAGGAAGGAACACTGTTGTTTTTAAACTAAATCTCAATCTTACGATTTTACCAATAAAGACTCAGGAGTCAGATGCTGGGGTGAAAACTTGCTAGCTGGCATCTAAGAAAGAGAGCTTTTCTTTGGTCATCCCAAATCAAAAAGAATGCCAAATCCAAAGTCCCTCCTCACTTCCTCCTGTGTGTTTCTCTAGCTGTTTTCCAGACTCCTCCTTACTCTCTATGGCTACTTCCTGTTAATTAGTTGCTGGCTCTGCCTCTTGACCCAAGGTTGATTTTATGTAATTAATACAATCTCAGGTTTCACAGTGTGATCAAATATCCCACAATAGTACACATTGATTCTTTCTCAGCCCAGCATGAGAAAGTAGGGGCAGGAGGCATCCCCAAGGACCACAGATACTGCAAGGCACAGCACCTCACCCAGGGTAGGAAGGAGTTCAGCACTGTTCAACATTTTTAGTGGGGTAGGGTGTGATGGGAAGTAGGGACTTGTTCAGGGCTGGTGGCCTTGTTAAATGGAGAGGGATTATTTAGGGTGGGTAGGGTTCCTGGGGGACCCTGTCTCCCTCCAAGCTGGACTGGTGGGAGTGCCCTGGATTGGGGGAGGTGGCCCACCTCCTATTCTGTGTCCTGGGCCAAGTGCGATTTGACACCCCCGCCCCCGTGCGTGCGTGCGAGCACTGGAACACCACTTGCTATGGTGGACAGTGGATCGGCAGGGCAGCGATGTGAAGTGCTCACCTTCCTCTTGCTTCAAGGTGAGGTGCTCCTCAGACCGCTCCTCCCAGTTCTGATACAGTTTGAAGAGGCCATGCTCTTCTGACTCCTGCCTGCAGGACAGTGGGCCCAGGACAGTTTGCAAGTACCTTCTGTCTGCCTCTGCCAAGACTACCCAAGGGGTGAGGAAGCCAGGGCAGCAGGGGTTAAGGAAACTTCCCTGAGGGACTCTGGTGGTGAGAAGCCACAAGTGATGGTAGAGACAGACCCAAGGGAGTGAGGCAGAGCCACTGGTGGGTCATCTGGTAGGGGGAGGGGGGACTGGGTGGTGGTGGTGGACCTGGGGGTGCAGTACAGGGGTAGAGTGTTTGTTTATCTAGTATGTGTGAACCCTGGTTTCTACCCCCAGCATTAGGAAGAAGAGAAAGGAGGAATAAAGAGAGGAAAAGGGACCTGGAACTTGGGGAACCCCTGCTGGGAACCACACAGAGGGGGATTCGTGAGGGAATGAGCAGGGACAAGGACCAGAGTGTCAAAGGGAGGTGCGAGGGTCCACAGTGGAGACAAACTAAGTGTGGGGCCCTGTTGAGACGGTGGGCGAGTGGAGGTGGCTCCTACCGTGTCTTGGCATAGTTCAGGCTTCTCTCGCTGCTCTGGGGCAAGAACTCTGGCCATCTCCAGTTCAGGTCCTGGGTGGGAGCTGACAGGACTGAGCTAGGGGACCCCACAGAGGCTGGGGCTTGCCCAGGGGCCGGTGGTCTGACCCACACTGGGACAGTAGATGGAGCTGAGGTGGACATCTCAAGCAGGGTCAGAGGCAAGGTTGGGACTGAGCTGCTGATGGGGCCTGGGGTAGAGACAGAAGTCAGCGTCCTGGGGGACCTCCGGGTTGTCAGGGTCCGGGTTTTCAAAGTCCTCCGATGGGTGGCTTCCTCCTGTTCCTCCACCTCCAGTAGACACTTCATGAAGCCCCGACGGGAGTTCCCAGGGCCCTGGGTGCCTATGGCTGCCAAAGCCTGCCGCTGCTTCTGCCCTTGGCCCAGCTCCTTCTTCTCTATGTCTCTTTCCTCCTGAGGGTAGAGGCAGGCTTGTGGGATACCTGCAGCCAGCCAACCAGACTGGCCCACAGAGCTTCTAGCCTTCTCAGAGCCTCTGAGGATGCTCAAACTGTCCTTTCCTCTCCAAAGCCATACAAGTGGTACTCCAAATCTCCTGTACCACCCTGGGACCCATGTGAGGTTCTGGGCCCACAAGTGACTCACCACCTCCCACCTGCAAGCTATGCTCCTGAGTGCACCAGTTTCCTTCATTGCAGCCCACACAGCTGGCAGTGACCTTGCTTCACTCCTGGTGCCTGTTTCACACTGGTGTCCTCAGCACATGATGGGCAGTTCAAATACTGTTCCCCATTCATTCCACAGAGTCAGCCATGCCTACATCTTGTCCCTCCCATCCCTGGGTCAGCCCAGCCTTTCTCCATCACTTAGTCCCGTCAGCATCCCAGCCTTTCTCCACCACTTACTCCCGTCAGCATCCCAGCCTTTCTCCACCACTTACTCCCGTCAGCATCCCAGCCTTTCTCCACCACTTACTCCCGTCAGCATCCCAGCCTTTCTCCACCACTTACTCCCGTCAGCATCCCAGCCTTTCTCCACCACTTACTCCCGTCAGCATCCTTTTCTTGGTGCTAAGGATCGAGCCTGAGGCTTCACTGATAAGAGCACTTGCACCTCTGAGGCCCGTCCCTACCCCACCCTCCCCTTTGTAAAAGCAAAGCAGAGCTGGGAGTGGTGTCACACACCTGTAATCCCCAACTGCATACATGTGGTGCACAGGCATACATTCAGGCAAACACTGTCCCTCCAACCCCCCCTTCCCAAAGCACCACAAAGACAACAAAATAGCATAATTATGATAAAGTACCCGTGGCTGATAGGATACTTGATTGGGTGGTCAGGAAAAAACTTTGCTGAGAGAGTGACATTCAAGTTGAGGCCTAAATGACTTTATGGAATTAGTCATGGCAGCATCTATGGGGAGATAGGCATACAGGGCAGCGGAGGGGAAAAAGAGCAAGGCGCACCTACAGGCTAGAAATCTCACCAGAGTAGCTACACACAGACCCTTGTGTGTTTGGGTGGTGATGTGGGGATTTGTTCTTTCAGGAAGCAGCTTGGACTGGGTGATAGGGCTTGGGAAGGGATGGATTCAGACGTGACTGCATGGCTGGGAGGGGGGACTGCTGACGCACTGAGTGTGAAGGAGACAGAATAGGAGCCATTATGAGCTGAGTCATATAAGCCTCTGGGTGAAGGGCTGGGGGAGGGGGCTGTGCTGAGGTGAAGACTGGGTCAAGAGTGGGTGGCAAGTGCGGTGTTGTGGGATATTTAAGATGTGTTACATTTGTTTATGCTGTGGAGTATTTGTGTAATGATGCAAAGATGTGTTGCATTCTTTTATGTTGCAATTGGTTAACTCTTTAAAGCTGTATTGACATTGCCTGTCTAAAACACCTGATTGATCTAATGAAGAGCAGAGCTAGGCAGGAGAGGGATGGGTGGGGCTGCCAGGTCGAGAGAATAAACAGGAAGAGAAAAGGAGAAGGGGAGGATTCTGGGGGCCAGCCACACAGCCACACAGCCAGTCAAAGAATAAGAAGGAAAGAAAGATATACATATATATAGACTGAAGAAATGTAAAAATCCCAGAGGCAAAATGTAGTTAAAGAGAAATGGGATTTTAGTTAGAAAAGCTGGCTAGAAACCAACTAAACTAATGTTGGGCATTAATAAATAAGAATAACTCTCTGTGTATTTATTTGGGAGCTGGGTGGTGGCCCCCCCTAGAACAACAACAACAAAAAACTACCATGGGAGTATAAGACTGTGCTCTGATCTGTAGTCTGAGGAGTGAATTCACTTGCTGTAGGATAATCCTTCTGTACTTTGTGAATATGTGTTACTTTCCAAGGAAGCGAAAGTTGCTAGAGCACAGGTAAAGCCACGAGCCATGTGGCAAAATATAGATGAATAGAAATGGGTTAAGTTTAAGTTGTAAGAGCTAGTTAGTAATAAGCCTGAGCAATAGGCCAAACATTTTGTAATTAATATAAGCTTTTGTATGATTTTTTGGGATCGGGCAGGCAGGACAAAAGAAAAGCTCCACCTCTGTTTACACTCACTCCATCTGGCTGTTGGGTATATGAGCTGGAAGTCTTAAGATTAAGTCTGGCGTGGAGATGGGATTTGGGAGTCAGCAGAGAGACTGGATACACGGTGGAAGCTATCTCCTTCCACCGTGTGAGTCCTGGGTTGAACTCAGGTCATGCTAAGTTATGGTCTTTTCTTTTAATTAGACATATTTGTTTAATTCATTGATTTTGAGATATAGTGTCACTGTGTAACCATGATTGGTCTCAAATTCTCTATGTAGATAGGTTGTCCTTGAATTCTGTATCTGCCTGTCTCTGTCTCTTGAGTACTGGGACTAAAGGCATGCACCACCACACCAGGCTACAAGTAAAATTGTTTGTCTGTGTATGTGTTCATACGAAGCAGGTCAGGTACTGTGGTGTCCAAGTGAAAGTCAGGGGACAAGTAATTCCTTCTCTCCTTCCAACCTGTGGGTCCCTTCCAAGTAAGGTTGTCAGGCTTGTCACCAAGGGATTTGACTTGTGGAGCCATTCCCTCACACACACACTTTAATAAACTAAGAAATCAGCATTTTTAGCTTGAACTGCCCTTGACTCCCTGTATAGACAAGAATGATCTTGAATTTCTGCTCTTCCTTCATCTAGCTCCCCAGTGCTGGGATTCCAGGCATGAGTCACCATGCCTGCTTTGTGACGTATGGGGATCCAGTCTAGGAACTATCAACTGAGCCTCATTCTCCTAACTTCATGGCTTGTTCTTCCTCCCTCCCTCCTTCCCCCTTCCTTCTTTCCTTTCCTTTCCTTTCCTCTCTTTCTCTTTTTTATTCTGGTTTTTTGAGACAGGGTTTCTATGTCATCCTGACTGTCAAGGAACTCTGTAGACCAGGGTAGTCTTGATCTGCCTCCTGGGTACTGGGATTAAAGGTATGCACCACCACTGGCTCATGGATGTTTCTTTTTTCTTTCTGTCTCTCTTTTTGCAGTATTTTTTATTTTAATTCTTTAATTACTACTCATATTCAATATCCATTCCCCCCATTTTCTTTCTTGTTTTTCTTTTTTTGACAAAGTCTTTCTATGTAGACCAGGCTAGCCTCCAATCATAGCACTCCTGTTCTCTGCTTCCTGAGAGCTAAGATTACAAATGTGTACCTGCCACTGTCCCCTGCTCTGTCATCCCGTCTTTCAAAGCAGGTTCTTTAAAGTCAGAGCTTCTCCATTTGGTTTAGTCAGTGCAGACTGTTGAGACAGGCTGGTTAAGAAAGACTAGAGTGTGAACACAGAAAGCAAGGACTGGAGAGATGGCTCAGTAGTTACGGGCACTGACTGCTCTTGCAGAGGCCCCAGGTTCTATTCCCAGCACCCTCATGGAAGCTCCTCTGAGAAAACTAGACACACACATGGTTCACAAAGATACATACAGACAAAACACCCATACACAGAAACTGAGTAAGTCTAAAAAAACAAGAAGCAACACAAAATGTAAAAGGCTTATAATGTATAATAGGAGTAGTGTGTGGAGTTTTGCTCTTGAAGCTTCCCTTAGGAAGTACATCAGAGTCTCCATAGGCACATGGGTACTGGGTAGATACTGCTTCAGAGTCGTGTGTGGGCCGTAAGGCTGGAGAAACGGGGAGACTGGTGTTGTGGAGGGAAAGGATCCGCTAAATAAACAGGTCATCAGGGATGGCTGTTGATGGGCAGGAAGAAGCGGGGTTGTTTTTCTTTTCTGTTCTTCTCTGTGTAGCACTGGCTGTCCTGGCACTCACTCTGTAGACCAGGCTACCCTCAAACTCAGAGATCCGCCTGTCTCTGCCTCCCAAGTGCTGGGATTAAAAGCCTGACTGACGCTGGGTCTTTTCTTTTCTTTTGTTTTCCAATAATTTATTTATGTTTGTGTGCATATATACATATACATATACATATACATATACATATACATATTTGGATCCTGGAGTTACAGAAAGTTCTGAGCTGCCATGTGAGTGCTGGTAATTGAACTGAGGTCCTCTGGAATAACAGTCAGTACTCCTAACCACTGAGCCATCTTTCCAGCCCCAAGGCTGGATTTTGTCATCCTATTTTCTTCAGTGGCACTTATTGGAGGCTGCAAGGACATGGTGGAATGGAGGTAGAGGGCAGCATTTCTAGGCATCAGATAATAAATTACACACCTGATTGATGAGGGAGGTCCTATCACAGTCAATCTCTTTTTAAAGGACAAAAAGGGGAATAGGATATAGAAATGAGTACTTTACATTAGTATGGATTTTCATTTATTGATACAAATTTAAGGTTAATTTTGTTATTTTCCCTCTTGTTTAGGTATTGTGTTTATACAGATATTTTTAAGTGTAATGCATAATTAAATACAGATTAAAGTCACCTATAATAGTCAGAACTTATCAATAGGTTAGTTAGGTTTTCTAGATATACAAAGATGTACTTGAGATGGATAGATACTCTTCAGACCTTTCAAAGACCTACAGAATATATGGCATTTAAATGGTTTAGGGTTTTTCATGGCAGTGAGATACAACTGCTCCTGGCACACCAATTACGTCTTAGAGGAAGATGAGCATTGAAGAAACTCGTTATGGAGTTTGCTTTCAACATGGCAAGATTAGCCATTTGGGCAAGAAACCACTCTTGCCTGGACTGTTTGTTGCTGATAAACTGGACATGCAGGACCCACAAGAAAGTGACTGCTGAACTTATAAAACAAGATGAACAGTCCTGAAGGGTTCCTGCTTCACTGAGAAGACTGCCAGACACACTGTGGCCTATGGGCTGAAAATGGATGCCCCAATGTTACAGAGGAACTTTGAGTGACTATCCAGGTAGCAAGATGTCTCTGTCAAATCTAGAGTTTATATATTATCCTTCTGTGGTCTTTGATGGAACTGAAGACATAGTTATGGTTATAGTTTTCTTTAGTTATCATAAAAGATAGGTTGCCCTTCTTTTTATTTAGACAGAAAAGAGGAGATGATGGGGGAGGTCTTTCTGTGTATGTGTTTGTCTTATTGGTTGATAAATAAAGTACTGTTGGCCAATAGGAAAGCAAGATAGGTAGGACTAGGAGTCAAGGAGGATTCTGGGAAATGTAGTAGAGATCCAGGCAGGAAGTGATATAGCAGGCAGACTCAGATTATAAGCAGGGACAAGAAAGAAATCGTCCTCTTGCTATTCCTCCTCCTCCTGCTGTCTTCTCTACGGAGCCGCCATGTGATCCCAGAAAGAGGATGCCAGTAGAAGGCATCCCTGATAAGTCTAATAAAATACATAGATTTATGGCTGGGCGTTGGTGGCGCACGCCTTTAATCCCAGCACTTGGGAGGCAGAGGCAGGCAGATCTCTTGAGTTAGAGGCCAGCCTGGTCTCCAGAGCAAGTGCCAGGATAGACTCCAAAGCTGCACAGAGAAACTCTGTCTCAAAAAACCAAAAAAAAAATAGATTTATGATAATTAATACTGAGCTAGCATATAAGAAATCCTAGTCAATTGGCCAGCAGCATTGTAAGCTAATACTAGACTCTGATGTTAATCTGGAGTAAAGACATCATTACACATGATCACTTCAAAGAGAAGCCAGGGAGAAGCCTAAGCATTGCAGTGTACCTGGCTGGAATGTTCAGGGCTGGGGTGTGGCTGGGGATATGGCATGAGGACAGTCAGGTGTGGTAAGGGATGGAGGATGATGGCAGGCTGGGAATTCTAAGCTTGTACCATCAATTCAGAGACCATAAAGTGGCTGTGTGGGGCTGGCTGGAAGCCAGCAGATATTCAGAGAAGCTGTGGACTGGAACTGGGGGCAAAGGGCAGAAGGAATCCAGGCTGACATGGAGCACTCCTGGGATGGACTGGAGAGCGCCCAAGTATCATCCATGTTTGACTGCACACACTAGTCCAAGCACACATACCAGGCCTGGCAGCACACACACATGCTCCCAGCGTCTGGAAAGCAACAGCTAAGGGGTTGCACTTGCCACACCCCTGACCTGGTTTTGATCCCTAGGGTCCACATGGTGGGAGGAGAGAATCTCCACTCCTGTGGCATGTGGCATGTGGTGCATCTGTGCACACACAATAATACATGTCATTTTAAGAAAATTAAAAAGAGCCGGGAGGTGGTGGCGCACGCCTCTAATCCCAGCACTCGGGAGGCAGAGGCAGGCAGATCTCTGAGTTTGAGACCAGCCTGGTCTACAAGAGCTAGTTCCAGGACAGGTTCCAAAGATACACAGAGAAACACTGTCTCAAAAAACCATTATAAAAAGAAAAAAATTAACAAGAAGGAAATACAAATCAAACACATAGGCAGCACACACACAGGCATCTGAAAGTGGTAAACGAAACTCAAAGGCTTCACCTCTAGGAATGAAGGGACCAGACCCTCCCTCAGCCCCGGCTTTAGCAGCCGGCTACAGAAAAGACAGTTTCCTGACACAAGGAAACTCCAGATCCTCTGGCCTCCCAGAGCCTAGGGCCAAAACTGAACCCAAAGAAACTCCAGACACTCCCCCTCCCCCCCAGTCTCCGAGGTACTTGTTTCCTGGGAACTGTTTGGCCACAAAAGAAATTCCATGGGAGACCAAAACCTCCCCTTGTAGTCTCCAGGATACAGTTCTGAAAACTATTGGTATCTATGCACAACAAGCCACCTGCAAGTAAGTAACAAGACAAAGCCATAGAAACCACAGAATGTTCCCTCTCAGCACTGACCAATGAAAATAATTGATACACAGGTATTTCATGCCAAAATATGACTTTGAGAAATTTGATCGTTCCCCAAATGTCAACCAATCAGAAACCAATCCGTACCTACTGATGTAATCCTGTAAATTTTGTCTTTAAAACCTAACAGAAGACAAGGAACTTCATCCCCTCTGGAGGCTGCTGTGTCAGCTTTCGAGACAGGGTCCCTCCCGAGGTAGGACAGACAATTTAATAAACCTCGTGCATTTGCATTGGTGGCCTGTCTCCCTGGTCTCTCTGGGGATCCTTATGACTCAGCCACAACATTTAAAATCATACTTTCCCAGTTTGCCTGGAAATGTTTCTGTTCCCACCATTCTCCCTCCAGCTCTCCCACAATCCCTTTTCTCCAGTCTCCCCATCCCCACTCTGACTCTACTTACTGGTGAAGAAAGAGGCCTTGCTGCTGCCTTGGTCTCCGCAGCTTCACCTCTAAACAGAGAGGAAACCCCCCTCGGGGGGGGGGGCAGGGTTTCAAGTCAGGGCTTGCAACTTACACTGACCCGGAACCCCCAGCACACTCAGCCTGCTGCCCTAGCCTCACCCTCTTTCACCTCATGGTCCCTCATTGCTTTACTTGCAGGCAGACAGACAGACCCACACAGGTCAAAGTTGGGCAAAACTGAGGCCTAGCAGCCGGTGACTTAACCAAGGTGTTTCGGTGGGACAGAAACATGAACAATACCACACTGTTTTATATTTGTGTGTGTGTGTGTGTGTGTGTGTGTGTGTGTGTGTGTGTGTGTGTGTGTGTGTGTGTGTTTGGTTTTTCGAGACAGGGTTTCTCTGTGGCTTTGGAGCCTGTCCTGGAACTAGCTCTTGTAGACCAGGCTGATCTGGTCTCGAACTCACAGAGATCCCCCTGCCTCTGCCTCCCGAGTGCTGGGATTATAGGCGTGCGCCACCAATGCCCGGCGTTTTGTTTTGTTTTGTTTTGTGTTTTGTTTTTAAACTTTATTTGTTGGGCCGGGCATGGTGGTGCACACCTTTAATCCCAGCATGTGGGAGGCAGAGGCTGGCAGATCTCTATGAGTTCAAGACTATCCTGGTCTACAGGGAGAGTTCCAAGACAGCCAGGGCTACGCAAAGAAACCCTGCCTTGAAAAAAAAATTACATCTATTTATTCATGTTGTGTTAGCACGCATGTGGAGTCAGAGGACAGTGTGGAATCAGTGAGTCTGTGGGGTGTCAATCTCAGGTCACTTTTCCCTGCTGAGCCATCTCACTGCCCCATAACTTGTCATTGTGTGTGTGTGTACATCCACAGCACAAGTATGGGGGCCAGAGGACAACTTGTACAAATCGCTTCCCTCCTTCCATTCAGTCAGTCCCTGGGGGATTGAACTTAAGTCTTCAGGTTAGCGGCAAGCACCTTTACCCACTGAACCATCTCCTCAGCCTCCATGTTGTGTTGAGACATGGCTTCTCATTGGCCTGGAACTGGCTAGGATAGCTGGCCATCATGGTCCCAGGATCCATCAGCCTGTTGCCATCTCTCTAGTGCTGGGATTACAAGCGTGTGCCTCTGTGCCCAGCTTTTTACCTGGGGAATTAATCTCAGGTCCTTGTGCTTGAGAGTGAGCCCTTTACCAACGGAGCCAGCTCCCTGGCCCCATCTCCAGTATTGCTTAGCCGCAGAGCCACCCGCAGCGAGCAGGGCAGAAGTGACCCTGGAGGATGACTTACCCCTCTTTGTGTGTTCGAGGTCCTGGTGCAGTTGGCAAGGTGGGAGGGGCCTTCTTTTCCTCTACAGTTGCCTTGGGTTTGGGAGCCACTGCCACGTGGAGGCTGTCCTTGTGTGTCCGTGAGCTGGGCGTTGGCATGGGCTCCTGCAGCTTGACCTGTAGTAGGTGTGCTTCAGGGGGGTGGTCACCCTTAGGTGGCTGACTCTTGCTGTCCGAGGTGCATGGTTTTTCCACACGATGATCTGTGTTTCCCTGAGTGGGGAGAGCCAGAGTCTGGGAAATGAAGAAGATGGCCTTAGAAGAGCTGCTTCTGACTTCCGGAGGGGAGTTTCAAAGGACAGGCTTCCACATACTTCTATTAAATGTATATTATTTTTTTATAAAAGTTTTTTGGGGGTGAGGAGGGTTTTAAGACAGAGTTTCTCTGTGTAGCCCTGGCTGTCCTGGAACTCACTCTGTAGACCAGGCTGGCCTCAAACTCAGAGATCCACCTGCTTCTGCCCATTAAAGGTGTGCGCCACCACCGCCTGGACTAAAGAGGTACTTTTATTTACGTGTATATGTATGTGCACTTGGAGGTCAGAAAAAGACATTGGATCCTATACAGGTGGTTGTGAGTCACCATGTGGGGTGCTGGGAACTGAACTCCAGTCCTCTGGAAGAGCAGCCAGTGCTCTTAACTTCTGAGCCATCTCTCCAGCCCCTGATTTTATACATACGTATAGGTGTCTATGTATTTTGTATTATAACACACCACACACACACACACACACACACTGATTTTATACATACGTATAGGTGTCTATGTATTTTGTATTATAACACACACACACACACACACACACATATATATATGCATAATATGTATTTTGTTGTTTTTTGTTTTGTTCTTCCTTTGAGAAAGGGTCTCTCTATGTAGCCCTAACTGTCCTGATACTCGCTCTGGAGACCAGGCTGGCCTCAAACTCAGAGATCCACCTGCCTCTGCCTCCCAAGTGCAGGGATTAAAGGCGTGCACTATCATCACCTGGTGAGACCCTGACTTTAAAAAAACAAACAAAAGGGATTGGGGATTTAGCTCAGTAGTAGAGTGCTTGCCTTGCAAGCACAAGGCCCTGGGTTCAGTTCTCAGCTCTGAAAATAGAAGAAGAAGAAAAAAAAAGAAAGAAAAAAGATGATGCTGATTTGGGGCTAGGCTTCACTCTGAAGAAAAACCAAGAATACACCCCTTTAATCCCAGCACTCAGGAGGTTGAGGCAAGGCAGGTAGGTATCTGTGAGTCTAAGACCAATCTGGTCTACAGAGCGAGTTCCAGGACAGCGAAGGCTACACAGAGAAACCCTGTCTTAGAAAAAAGAAAAGAGGGCTGGGCGTTGGTGGCACACGCTTTTAATCCCAGCACTCGGGAGGCAGTGGCAGGGGGGTCTCTGTGAATTCGGGGCCAGCCTGGTCTCCAGAGCGAGTGCCAGGATAGGCTCCAAAGCTACACAGAGAAACCCTGTCTCGAAAACCCAAAAAGAAAAAAGAAAGAAAAAACAGAAAAAAAAAGAAAAAAGAAAAGAAAAACTAAGAATGTTGTATTGGACTGGGTGGTGGTGGCACACACATTTAATCCCAGCACTAAGGAGGCAGAGGTGGGTGGGTCTCTGTGAGTTCGAGGCCAGCCTGGTCTACAGAGTGAGTTCCAGGACAAGCTCCAAAGCTACACAGAGAAACGCTGTCTCGAAAAACCAAAAAAAAGTTGGGCTATGTTACATTATTTTTTGTAAATGAATGTAGAGATGAGAAAAATAAGGAAATAAAGAGTCTGTTCCAATGAAACACTTTGGAAAGGCCAGCATGCCTTGCAAAGGCTCAGTTACCATAGGGTGGGAGGTATCACAGCGACCCTCTTAAACTCAGCACCTCCCAGCATCATCTGTCACACAACCCTTGCTTGCCCCTGGCCCTGTCCCCAAGACACCCAGAGGGCCTCTCTGTAAACAAGACCTGAAGAACACTTTGATTCCACCTCCTAGAATCACCCATGACACAGGGAGACTAAGTGTCTGCCAGCTCCAGTACACAGCCTCCAGCAAACACGGGCACAGGCACATCTGTTTTGGGGACACAGGAGACCCCTTTTCCCTCACCCCACATGGTGCCCAGGCCCCTTTTCCTGATCTCCCAGGGTTACCTGGTAGCTCTCAGTGGGATGAATGTTTTTGGCCTCGGCGCTCTGCCATCTCTCCTGTTGATCCTTGGTTGGCCAGGGCTGCTCTTCAGAGGTCACACACTCCCCACCAGGCTGGGCTTGTGCCTGGCCAGCTTGCAGATCCCTTGGCCCTTCCTTTGTTGCCAAAGATGACTGATTCCTTACAGAAAAAACAGACAACAAACACTTCACCTTCAGCCTGGGTGCTGCTCTCCCAGAACACCTGTCCAGGACTAGGCATATTAGGGGTGCATACTTATTGCCTAGGAGAATAAATGAAGGACTGATACATACACCAAGTCTCAGGCACCTTGATGGGAAGGTTGAGGTGGTTAGAGTCTAACCCTTCTAGTGTTGACTTTTTTTTTTTTTTTTCAGAACTAGAAGGGGTGCTGGTGGTGCACACCTGTAACCTCAGGACTAAGGAGGCAGAGACGGGATGTCAGGAGTTGAAGATCAGTCTTAGCCTCAGAGTAAGTTCAAAGCCAGCCTGGGCTGCATGGGATCCTGTGTTGGCTCTCTCACTACTAGAAGGGGGAGAGAGGAAAGAGGAAGAAGGGAGGGGAAGAGGGGGGTGAGAAAGAGGGCTAGAGGAGAAGGGGTCTTCGTGTTGGGCTGGGATATAGTTTATTGGTATAATAGTTGCCTGGCATGTACAAGGCCCTGGGTTCAGTTGCGTAAAGTTAAAGCTGTCATGTCTGTGCAGCTCTAGTCTGTAATCTGAGTTTCTCTTCCTAACCAACCACTTCACTCTCTCTGTTCCTTCCTTAGACAGGGTTCTGCTCTGTCGCCTAGGCTGGCCTCAAGCTACTAGCCCTCCTTCTTGAGCGGTTCTGTGCTGGGGTCACAGGTGCATGCCACCGCCTGCCTGGGGCTTCATTAAATGGCTGTCTTGACAAGACTTCATATTCTCCATATTCATAGTTCATAATCCACAAGCTAAAAAGCCTTCATAAACACACTTTCCTGTTTAGTGAACATTAGTGTATGTTCATTTTAACGGGTTTCATTATGACATCTATACATGGATATAAAATATTTTCATGATATTCCCTCCCCCCTCATTATCTTCTCTTGCCCCTTCCACCCTCTCGTCCTGGCTCATCTCCTTTCATTTCCTATCTGTTGTTGTTGTTGTTGCTGTTGTTGTTGTTTATAAAGGAATGAGTTTCATGAAACTTCCAGCAGGAGCTCAAGTGACACATGGGTGCCTCAGCGTGTGAATATTCTCACACGCTGAAGGAATATTCTGAATATTCCTGAAGGAATATTCTCCCTCCCCAGCAACCATGGACTGCCCAACATCCTCAGGAGGGGTGAGCCTCTTGAGTGCTTCCTTTCACTTTTGAGTGCGTATATAAAGCTCCGCGTCATGGATGAGTGTGGTGGCGCACACCTTTAGTCCTGGCGCTTGAGAGGCAGAGGAGGCAGGTGGATCTCTGTGAGTTCGAAGCCAGCCTGTTCTACAGAGTGAGTTCCAGGACAGCCAGGGCTACAAGGAGAAACCCTGTGTGAGAGAGAGAGAGAGAGAGAGAGAGAGAGAGAGAGAGAGAGATGAGTGTTTGGGCTGCATGTATGTATATACAACATGTGTGTGCAGAGCCCATGGAGGCCAGAAGAGGGCACTGATCTCGTGGAGATGGAGCTATATGAGGTTGTGAGCCACCATGTGGTTGCTGGGAACTGAACCCTGGTCCTCTGGAAGAGCAGCCAGTGCTCTTAACCACTGAGCCATCTCTCCAGTCTAAATTAAATTAATCTTTAACACAATTTTGTAGGACCATGAAGATGGCTCAGCAGCTGAAGTGCGTCCCTACTGACTCTTGACATCCTCCACCTGAGTTCTAACCCCAGGACTTACCTGGTGGAAGAAAAGAGTCAATTCCTCCTGTTAGAGGATCACTGATCTCCACAGCAGCACCACACAGATAAATGAATGTAACTTTTTTTTTTTTTTTTTTGGTTTTTCGAGACAGGGTTTCTCTGTGGCTTTGAAGGCTGTCCTGGAACTAGCTCTTGTAGCCCAGGCTGGTCTCGAACTCACAGAGATCTGCCTGCCTCTGCCTCCCAAGTGCTGGGACTAAAGGCATGCGCCACCAACGCCCAGCTCTGAATGTAACTTTTTACATTAGTTTGATTGGTGCTCTGAACTGGGTCAAGATTACAGATCAGTGAGGGAACATTTGTCAAGCTAGCATCTTCAAGGTCCTGGGTTTGATCCTCAGCAGGGTTGGGTAGAGGTAGGAAGAAGGGGAGAAGCATGGATGCTGCAGTCGCTAGATCTGCCTTATCCTGGAAGCTCTCAGTTCTCTGATTCAGGCTCCTCTTTTCTGGGAAATCCCCCACTACTCACTCTGCTCTTGAGAAGGGCCTCTGCTCCCGGGTTTCAGGCTCCCCTGACCCCTCGTGGGATGATCTTCTGTGTCTGAGCTCTCTCTCTGATCCACTGGGAACTACAGGATGCTTTCTGCTGTCATTTTCCTTGGCATCCGCAAGCCCAGCCTGAAATAGAGATGTACCTGGGCTGGCTCAAGGGCTGACCTTGAGCCAGGTGCTGGGGCCTTTCTCCTGTTCCTCCTTGCCCATCCTCTTGTGTTTGCCTATGTCAGGGAGGTGCTAGAGAGAGGGGAAGAGAAAGACCAGGCAGGGCCTGGAGGTAGGTGGTGGACCTGGCCCCGCTGCTTAGCATTAGGAACTCTGGCATAAAACTGGAGACCAACTAGAATCTAAACCAAAGGATTATGTTGAGGACTGTTTGAAAGAATGCCAGTGGGCAAGAAGTGATGCCTTCCACACAGTACCATCATCCCATTGCCCAGATGCTTTACGTTTTAGTTTTTATTTTTTTGCTTTGTTGTGTTTTTTGACAGGGTTTCTCTGTGTAGCCTTGGCTGGCTGTCCTGGAACTTGCTCTGTAGACCAGGCTGGCCATGAATTCTGCTGGGATTAGAGACATGTGCTATCACTGCCCAGCATTTTTTTTTTTTTTTTTTTTTTAGTTTTTTGAGATAATTGTTGTGGTATATAGCCTAGGCTGATTTTGAATCTGAAATCTTTCTGCATCAGCCTGAATCCTGAGGCAACAGGTATGTTCCACCATGGTCCACCCCTGGAGTTCTGATTTTTAATCTCCATCTTGGCCATCGGTTTCCAGTAGGGTGGACCTTAAGCCAACATATCGCCTAGTCTCAGAGGTCAGCAAATACCATGTAGCTCATTAACTAATGGATGAAGTTAAAAAAAAATTTGCCAGGCATTGGTGGCACATGCCTTTATTCCCAGCACTCGGGAAGCAGAGGCAGGGGGATCTCTGTGAGTTTGAGGCTAGCCTGTGTTGGGAGATGTTGGGCCCCAGCCCCCACAGGGTCTCCGTGAGTTGATAACCACAGATGCATCCTGTTTTCTAGTCCTGGATTACAGCCCTGGCTGTACCCCACTGGCATAAAAAAACACAAGCTCTTACACCTGGGGTTTTTCCACTGTGCTGTAAGTCTGAATATAAGGCTGCTCCCTCCCTGCAAAAAACACAAGTGACTGGACAGGTTGGTTTTTAATTAAAATCTCCAGGCTTTCTCCCGATTCTCAGACTTACTCGTGGGGTGGATGCCACAAATGGAGGTTCCATTAGACTTAGTCGTGGTGCAGGCACCACAAGCCTGGTCTACAGAGAGAGAGTTCCAGAACAACCTTCAAAGCTACAGAGAAACCCTGTCTCAAAATTCTAAAACAAACTTTGTTTTATATGCATTGGTGTGTATACAGCCTGCATGTATGTCTGTGTGAGGGTGTCAAATACCTTGGAACTGGAGTTACAGACAATTGTGAGCTGTAGGTGCTGGGAATTGAACCTGGGTCCTCTGGAAGAGCAGTCAGTGCTCTTAACCACTGAGCCATCTCACCAGCCCCATGGATGATTTTTTTTAAACAGAAGATTCTGGTGGGAGCCAACTCTAGTGGGCACCTACCACCAGACAGGGCCTCAACACACGTAATCCAGGTAAATCCTTACCATGACACACACACAAAAGTATGAAAGGGGTACAGACATGCCCTGTGGGATTGGGACCAATGTCTGCTTGTTGAGAAAATGAGTGGGAGGTGGTAAAGAAGGCCTTGAATGTTTGTCCAGCTTTCCTTTAAAAGACTACTTGTCTGTGAGTTCGAGGCCAGCCTGGTCTTCAAAGAGAGGTCCAGGACAGTCTCTAAACCTTCAGAGAAACCCTGTCTCAAAAAACAAAACAAAACAACAAAAAAAGACTACTTGTCTGTAGGCGGTGGGTCCTTCTGGGTTAGAGCATGCTTGGGTGGCAGGTGACAGGTATCCACAGAGGTGGACTTGTGGTCAGCCGTGGTTGTCAACTCGACTAGATTAAGAAATGCCTGGGGGCTGGATGGGGTGCTTCATGTCTTTGATCCCAACAGTCAGGAAGCAGAGGCAGGTGGATTTCTGTGTTCAAGGCCAGCCTGGTCCACAGAGAGATAGCCAGGGCTACACGGAGAAACTGTGTCTTGAAAAATACAGCAAAAAAAGGGTGACAGGAGAGAAGAGACCAGTGCTAGGGATGGCAATCATAACTGGAAGTGAAGGCCCACCTACCTGAGTGACTGACACAGTGGGCTCCAAATCAGTCTTCTTTTTGGTGGAACTCAGGCCAGTACTTGATTGGACTGCTGGAGCCTCCTCCTTGTTCTCTGGGTGTGTCTGGGTATTTCTGTTTTCCATTGTTCTGGAGACAGCAAGATTCCCAAGACAGTGGCATCAGCTGCTGTTGCCAAGCAGAGATCCAGTCAAGCTCCTACCAGGCCTGAGACCCCATTGCTGCATCTGTGCCACACCTGAAGCCTGGGATGATCAGGCTGTCAAGGAGCCTGAACTTAACCAGGAGCCAGGCCTATGTAGCAAGAGCTCACCAGACTCTTTAATTTTCACAATGAGCCAAGGACAAGGCCCAGGAAACTCAGGAAACATGTCTAAAGGTCTAGAGTAGGCTCGGACCTATGCCTGGTGCAAACCATCAGATCTTTGCCTTTTCCCCACAGGGCAATCCTGCTCCATCCTCAAGCCTGCTAGGTATCTAGAGGAAATGGAATGCTGTCCTCATCAAAACAAAATATACAGTGTCTTGCAAGACATCGCAGAGGAGCCTTTAAAACACTTGTGAACATTTAAAAGAGAGCCCATGAGGGGCTGGGGTGTAGTTAATTTTTAGTGTGCTTGCCTAGCCTACACAAGCACCTCCCAAAACCAGGTGTAGTGGTCCAGGCCTGAGTTCAGGAAATGGAGGCAGGGGGAATCAAGAGGTCAAGGTCATCCTTGGCTGCTTCATGATTTTGAGGCTAGCCTGGGCTACAATGAGATGAGAGGAGAGGAGAAACAGAGACAGAGACAGACAGAGAGAGCATGCACCCATAATGTTATTGCTGTTTCAATGAAAACCCCATTTTGTGGTGGGTGGGTTCAAGACAGGGTTTCTCTGTAGCTTTGGAGGCTGTCCTGGAACTCTCTCTGTAGACCAGTTTGATTGTGAACTCACAGAGACCTGCCTGCCTCTGCCTCCCAAGTGCTGGGATCAAAGGTATTTGCCACCACCACCTGACAGATCTATTCATTTATATATACGTGTGTGTGTGTGTGTGTGTGTGTGTGTGTGTGTGTGTGTGTGTGTATACCTGTGTGAGTTTGTGTTCACCATGTGCATACAGGCTCCCAGAGAGGGCAAAGGGGGTCAGATCTTCCTAGAACTGGAATTACAGGTGGTTGTGGCATCATGTGGATGCTGAGAAGTGTATCTAGCTTCTCTGCCAGAAGACACAGTTCTCTAACCACTGAGCCATCTCTCTGAACCCCCCCCCCCATACTCCCCCTTTAACAAACAAAACAGGGGTTTTGGTAACTGAACTCAAATTCTCATGCTTACAAAGCAAGCAGTTTACTGATTGAGCCTTCTCCCCAGCCCAAGCTCCTTTAGGGCAACATCAGCATTGTTTCTATGGCAACATCTTGGCTGCTTCTCACATTCACTAGTTCTCAGGTCAATGCCCCCATCTCCAAACCCTCCAGGGAGAGCCTGTGACCTGGAGGATCTCGGAGACTTTCCCCTTCTAAGCCACAGCAGGCCAGCTACTTTCCATGGAATGAGTTCCTCGCTGCTGGAAGTTGTTAAGTTGGAGTCTCTTCACTGCCCTGTGCGGTATAGACTCAGCCCTTTCTGTTGTAGAGAAAATAAGACAGTAGTTCAGACAGTAGCTCAGAGTCGCCCAATGTCTTGCCCAATACCACAAGACTCATCTCCAAGGAACTGGATTAAAACCCAGATCTGTTCAACTCCCCAGATGGCACTCCTCACAGGGTTGTCCAGCCTCTTGAAAGCATGGGCCCCTTATTTATCATTTAAGGGCAATCACATGTACCACTTATGTGCCAGGCCTTGGGGACACCCTGGTGCCCCCCCCCCCAGGGAGACAGATAATTTCTGCTGACCCAGAACCCAGATTTCTCCTCTTGTGCCGCCAAACCCCTTCTGTTATCTTGCCTACCTTCCCACAGTGAGCCAGACCCTGGACTCCAGCTCCTATGTGACCCAGGTGGGATATGCCAGCTCCTATGCAACCCAGGCTCTCAAATGGCACAAGATGTTGTGGCTGTGGCTAAGCTTCCCTTTCTTCCCCTGCGTTTTGTCACTCCCCCCCACCTCTTTCCCATCAAGGCTCCCCTAAGCATCCCCTCCTCCCTGGAGCCGTCCTGCTCCAGAGGGGGCTGACCCTTCTGGGAACAATCTCCTCAGGTCCCGAGACACACCTGTCTTTGTTCACTGTCTCCATCTCAACCCCGGAATCCTCAGGTCTCAGTGTTCTACAAAGCACAGTTTTAAGGGAACAGAAGCCTCCCAGGAAGACCAGGCCCATCTGGAGCTAGTTGACAGATGAGACGAGGAGAAGACTCCAGTGGCAGACCTGGGGTGGGGTACCAAAGACAGGCTTCACCCTCCCTTCATAGTACCTGACCCCATTTTTTTTAGAAACTTTCTGTGAGCTGTACTTCACATACTCCACAGTATGATTACTGAAGTCCACCCACTGGGCTGGCAAGATGGCTCAGTGTGTTGTCAGACATACACACTAAATAAAATATAACACACACACACACACACACCACACACACACACACACACACACACACACACACACACACACACTTAAAGAAAGCCCACTTGTCATTTAGTGGCTATTAGCACAGTCACTGGGTTGGGTTCCCAGTTTTACATCATGACATTTATCTCAGCCCATAAAGGAATCCCGAATGCCTTGGCCATCATCATCAGCCTTCCTGCTAGACTCCAGCCCTTGGCAATGATCTTTTTGGTGAACTTGCTGTTCTAGGATTTCTCCAGAAACGTGCTCAAACAACTTAGTGTTCTCATGGTTTATCTATGTGATGGCAAGCATCCACAGCTTCCTTTTTTTTTTTTTTTTTTTTTTTTTTTTTCAAGACAGGGTTTCTCTGTGTAGCTTTGGAGTCTGTCCTGGCACTCGCTCTGGAGACCAGGCTGGCCTCGAACTCACAGAGATCCACTTGCCTCTGCCTCCCGAGTGCTGGAATTAAAGGCGTGCGCCACCAACGCCCGGCTATGAAGCTTCCTTTTAAAAAAGATTTATTTTTAAGGTGTGTGTGTGTGTTTGTATGTGTCTTTCTTTGGGGGCTGGTTGGTAGCACAAAAAAAAAAAAAAAGAAAGAAAGAAAAAAAAAAGAAAAAAAAAAAGCCTGGTACAAAAAAAGGGGGGGGGAGCCCCACAGGGATTAAATGTGTGTGCCACCACCGCTGGTTTTTGGTGACTGTCTCAGTAAGTGTTCTATTGCTGTGAAGAGACACCATGGCCACAGCAACTCTTACAAAAAGAAATCATTTAGTTGGGGCTGGCTTACGGTTTCAGAAATTTAGTGCATTTTCATCATGGTGGGAGGCATGGTGGCATGCAGGCAGACACGGTGCTGGAGAAGTAGTTGAAAGTTATACAGTTGGATCTGCAGGTTTCGGGAAGAGAGAGCCACTTACTCTGGCTTTGGCTTTTGAAACCCCAAAGCCCACCCCCAATAATTCACTTTCACAAATAAGGCCACACCTCCTAGATCCTCTCAAGTGGCACCACTCTCTAATGGCCAAGCTTTCCAATATCTGAGCCTATCAGGGCCATGGTCACTCAAATCACCACAGTGATGAAAAAATAGCTATAAACTAAGGTATTTCTCAAACCATTGGTGGAGACATCAGGCAGGTGGGTCACAATAAAGCAGGGAAGTGTCAGTTATTGGCCTCAGATGCTATTTGATGACATTCTCAGCCTTTTCATTGGTGTACATACCAAAAGGATTTATCTAATAGTCACATTCAGAGGTAGGTACTAAATGACTACTTAGAGGGTCAAGATAGCCCCAAACCAATGTGGTTCTCAATTTGTAATAATCCAGTTTTTCTTTTCTTTTCTTTCTTTCTTTTTTTTTTTGAGACGGGGGTTTCTCTGTGTAGCTTTGGAACCAGTCCTGGAACTCGCTCTGTAGATCAGCCTAGCCTCAAAGTCACAGAGATCGACCTGCCTCTCAGATAATCCAGTTTTTCCACAACCAATTAACCTCATATAATGTTTCACACAGGCGTGGCTTTACCCCAAGTACGGTGATTTGAATGTCTCCCCTTAGGCTGATATATTTGTATACTTGAACTTGTCCCCACTTGAATTGTTTGGAAGGATAGGAGGTGTATCCTTGTTTGAGGTGGGTAATGGGAAAAGGGCTTTGAGCGCCCCACCTCCTGTGGTCCACGCCGCCCGCCAGGATCATGATATAAAGCTCTCAGCGCCTTCTCCAGCACCATGCTTGTCCAGTGCAACCGTGCTCCCCACCATGATCATAACGGACCAAGCCTCTGGAACTGTAAGCGAGCTCCAATGACATGCTTTCTTTAGTTTTCTTGGTCACAGCAATACAACAGTGAGTGATTAAAACACCCAGGAATTTTTAGTTCACAACTTTGATTTCAATTCCTGTTGAGCTAAGCCGCTGGGGTCTTGAGCACATAGTAGCTTATAAAAAGTACAGAGGGTGGTGGAGCGGGATTTCTCCCGAAGCCTCTGAGAACCTTGTGGGGTTAGCAGGGAGGAGGACATTCCGCTGAGAGCATGCACTTGCCCCTGCGCGTACCGGGGCTGGAGCCTCGAGGGGCAGGCTGCTGAGAAGGCACAGTTTAGCCTGCCCACCGGCCCGGCCCAGATTCCGGATTAGGAGCTCGTCTGCACCTCTGGCTTTTCAGGGCTCGCAGCATCGGGCATCTCTCCTCATGTTCTGATCCGAGACGTCCGGCAGAGGGCACTCGACGAGGAGCAACGGGAGGCCGGGAGCCGCGGCTCCAGACGGGGCTGGGGCTAGAGTCGCGTCACTTCCGGTCCCGAGGGGGCGGGGAAGAAGCCGGAAGTTGAGCTCTGGCGGTGGAGATGGAGGAGAGCGAGTACGAGTCGGTTCTCTGTGTCAAGCCGGAGGTCCATGTCTACCGCATCCCGCCGCGGGCCAACAACCGTGGCTACAGGTGACCGTTCCTGGCTTACCCTTTCCCCCGCCGCCCCGGCATGCACTGCGGGGGCCAGGGATGGGCTGTCGCCTTTAGGGAAGGAAGGGACAGAGCCCAGTGGCTGCTTCCTGTCCGGCCAGACCCGGGATGGTCGTGAGCTGTCAGCGGGATGCGGGCATGCGGCATGCGTCACAGCCGGCTCCTGGGGACCCGGGTGGGCTGCGGGGTCTACGGGTCGTGTGACAGCGCTAACCGACAGCCTTGAAGGGATCCCTGGAAACCCTGCCACTCGACGAAGTCCCCACCGGGAGGGAACCCGACTCCATCTGAGGGGCCCCGCCCTATCTCCGGCTTTCTTGGCCCCAGTTTCACCCCACCGATCACAGCAAGCTGCAGCTGGGAGGGCCCCACTGCCCTTGGCTTGAGTAAGCGTCACCTGAGGCAAACAGACACAAATGGCTGTAAACACACGGGCTGGCTCTGAAGGGAACCCAGGACTCGACTCCAGGGGACCCCAAGTTAGACAGCCATTGTTATAGACTTCCCATACTGTTTGCATTCCCTATCCTAACAAGATGGGGAATACTTCTTTAAAAAGGTATTGTTGATATAAACGATGTGCCCGGTGCCCTGTGATGGGTGGGGTATTGCTACTTAGGAAGGGTGGCAGTCCCCCCATTCTCCCCCACTCCACTCAGACAGGCTTTCTCTGCATAGCCCTGTCTTTCCTGGAAGTCTCTGTAAACGAGGCTGGCCTCAAACTCAGAGATCGCCTACCTCTGCCTCCCAAGTGCTGGGATTAAAGGCGTACACCACCACCGCCCAGTAAGGGTGGCTCTTGAAGGCAATGTGTGTCCAAGTTATTTGAAAATAGGAGGTAGTCTGTACCACAAGTGTGTTGAAGTATCTGCTTATCTGTCCTTTGCACTTGGTGTAACACAGGCACATAGCAAATTTTCCAAATGGGTATCTTATTGAACATTTACTGTGTCAGTTAGATGATTTTTTTAAATAGTATGAAAATAACAAGAACTTGGGCCAGGAAGCAACAACTGTCCGTGCTTTCTTTGTGTGTGTGTTGGCATGACATGTGCACCGGTGTGCATGCCTGTGCACACGGGTGCAGAAGGCACAGGAGGACCAGCAAGCATCTTGCTTTCGCACTGTCTCTGTTAGTCCCTTGAGTTGGTCTCTCACTGAACCTAGACTTTGCTGTTTCATTTAGACCAGCTGTTCAGCAACCTTCAGTGACCCTCCTTTCTCTGTCCTGGCCCCACACGGAGGAGGCTTTACAGGTACCTGCAGCCACACCTAGCTTTTAGACTCTGGAGATCCAAATTCAGGTCTTCAACTTAGCCTAGAACATGCTCATCTCCCCAGCCTTCTCCCTTCCCTTTCTGTCATTAAACTGGAGACCAGCCACCAAAGCAGAGATGGCGGTCTACCCAGATCTTTGAGTCTTCATTCAGTAGGTGAGGGTTGGCTCCTCTTGGTGCTGTCCTCCAGAGGGCAGGGTCGCCAAGTATCCAGCCAGGCTGGTTTGATATAGAAGAAACTGCTTGCCTTGCACTTAGCCTTTAGGGCTCTCCTTAGCCTGGATCTAAAGGCCACTGTGCCAGTAAGAGGAACAGAAACTGGTAGCTGTGAATCTGCATTTGTGTGGCCCTACAACAGCTGCCATCGGGAGTTCTAGAGAACTGACATTTGCTTAGAAACTTGGCAGAAAAGCCTTCTGGAAATACCCATGGTGCCTGCTGTTGAGGGGTTTTTCTGTGCTGCTGTAACTAAATGTGCTATTTTCTTTTTTTCTTTTTTTTTCTGTACAGCCCTAGCTGTCCTGGAACTCACCCTGTAGACCAGGCTGGCCTCAAATTTAGCTATCTGCCTGCCTCCCCTCCCTATGAGATTAAAAGCATGCACTACCACTTCCTGGATACACTATTGTGGTGTTTGTGTGTGTGTGTGTGTGTGTGTGTGTGTGTGTGTGGTTTTTTAAAACAGGGTTTCTCTGTGTCACAGTCCTGGCTATCCTGGTATCTGCTTTGTAACCAGGCTGCCCTCAAATCTGCCTCTGCCTTCTGAGTTCTAGTGCTGGGATTAAAGGAGTGCACCACCATGCCTGGCCACACTATTGCTTTTTTAAAAGGAGCCAGAGAGGGCATTGATAGGGGTCCTTGTTTCCCTGTGTCTCTTCCTGATTGGAATACATTTGAGAATGTTTCCTAACCACCCTGTTTTCCCCCTGTACACTCATGCACTTTTAAGGGTCTCTCTCTCTCTCTCTCTCTCTCTCTCTCTCTCTCTCTCTCTCTCTCTCTCTCTCTCTCTCTCTCTCTCTCTCTCCCAAAGATTTCACTCCTCTGTACTTCTTCCAACATGTTCTCAGGGGCCCAGCTGGTCAGTTTGGCCATCTTGGTATCACTGTGTCTTACCAGAAACAATAGACTCTTAGCTACTTCCTCTGCAGACAGGAAGCTGGGAAGGAAATCCCACTTGGAGAAGGTCTGTGGTCTTTAGAGTGGTTAGAGTGGGAGCCAGCAAGCTACAGCTGCCTGTGGTTTTGAATGCCCACAAGCTAAGAATATTTTTTACAACTTTACATGATTGGAGATTTTGAAGACTGTTTCATAATGTAAAAATTATGAGTCCCAGATTTCAGTGTCTGTAGTTACTGAGATGCAGCCATATTCAGAAGATATTTGCTAAAAATAGTTGTTTGTATAGCTATTATAGTTTTATGTTTTTCAATTTGCTTTTTGGATGTGTACGAGTGTTTTGTCTGCATGTATGTCTGGGTACCACATGTGTGCCGGGCACCTGAGGAAGCCAGAAGGAATCCCCTAGGACTAAAGTTACAGACCCTTGTGAGTTGCCATGTGGGTGCTGGGAATTGAACTTGGGTCCTCAAGTAGAATAGCTAGTGCTCTTAACAACTGAGTCATTTTTCAAGCCTCTGTAGTAAGTTTTCAGTTTGTTTTTTTTTTAAGTTTATTTACTTATTGTGTGTATGTGTGTGGGTACATGCCTGTCACAGCATGTATGTGGAGGTCAGAAGACAACATGGAGGAGTTGGTTCTCTTCATCTACTGTGTGGGTCCCATGATGGCACACACCTTTCATTCCAGTACTCAGGAAACAGAGGCTGGTGGATCTCTGAGTTTAAGGCCAGCCTGGTCCACAAAGGGAGTTCCAGGCTAGCCAGGGCTACACATTGAGAGCCCCATGTTTTAATTACATTTATGCATGTGCTGCTGTACAAGTGGCAGCCTGAGGACAATGTGTGCAAGCAGGTTGTCAGGCTTGGTGGTGCTTGTCTTCACCCGCTGAGCCGTCTCAGCAGCCCCTGCATGTGACACAGCATCAGCCTGTACACACATCGTTTGGCTGTTTCTCACTAGGTCATCAGAATAGTCCAGTTGCCTAGCAGAAGTTGTGTGACCTTTGAAGACATTAGTTACTATCCTTGCTGTTACAGAAGATGTTTGCCAGCTGTGTTCTTGAACAAGCAGCCCTTCCCACTCTTCCCCAGCACTGAAGGAATGAAGCAGGAAGCTCAGTGCTTGCTTTTTTTTTTTTTTTTTTTTGTCCTCATAGGGCATCAGAATGGCAGCTGGCCCAGCCATGGTGGAGTGGCCGGCTACGGATCACTGCGAAAGGGCAGGTGGCCTACATCAAGCTGGAGGACAGGACCTCAGGTAAAGGCACAGGACATGGGTTGGGTTAAGGTACCCGGGCTTCCACCTGTGGAAGAGAGGCTGCCTTGGCCAAGGTGGCTCAGGGCCATGGCAGAACCATTGCTGCAAGGTAAAGGCCTTTAAGTGCATCTAAATACCAAAGTGGGTGGACTAAAGTCGGCAAGAAGCTACAGGCTCCAGAGCCACCAGTTTTCATCTAGGTCATCGTTGGTGACCCAGCTGCTTCTAAAGCACTGGACCTAGCCGACATTTGTGGTCATACCTGTAATCCCAGAACATAGGAAGATCCTTTCTCAAGCAACAAAACAAGGGTGCGTTTGATCAGACACTGAGGGCACTGATAATGTACCTTTGAGCTTGGAGCCCAACATAAAGGCTCCTGGATTGGTGGTCATCGCTGCAGCTTCAGGAACCCAGAGTCCACAGAGGGACACTACACAAGGGTGCCTTTTCTTTCTTTTTGACAGAGTCTCATGTAGCCCAGGTTGGTATGGAACTCACTGTGTAGTCAAGGATGACCTTGAACTTGTGATTCTAATGCCTCTATCTGAAGTGTGGAGAGTATAGGCATGCTCCACCATGCCTATGTTATGCCTTGCTGGCAAACAAACCTATGCATGCTAATCCAGCACTTACACTGAGCTACTTATCCAGGCAAGAGTGCAGTTAAAGATGGGCCCTCCTTTTGCCTATTTCTGAGACTGAACTGAGTTAGTGTTAGATTCTTCTGTGGGATCCTAACTTCCCTGCTTTCTGCAAGGCTCACTGGCCCCTCTTACAGTCCTTCCTTGGGGTTGGGCCTTTCTGAGGTATGACACACCTGCTCTGGGCCCATCACCTTCAGGCTTGAGTGGCCATACAAATAGAATAGGCTGCTGGACTAGGTGGTGGCAGCCCCACCTTGGAGTTACTGTGTGGGGATGGAGGCCCAGCCTAGGTAGAACTTTTAATCTTTAAGAAAAGTCAAGGCCATGCCAGGCAGTGGTGGCGCACACCTTTAATCCCAGCACTGGGATTAAATCCAGAGGTGGATCTCTGTGAGTTTGAGACCAGCCTGGTCTACAAAGAGCTAGTTCCAGAACAGCCTCCAAAGCCACAGAGAAACCCTGTCTCTAAAAAAAAGAGAAAAGTCAAGTCAAGGCCAGGCATAGTGCACATGCCTTTAAGCACATCCGGAGGCAAAGGCAGGTGAATCTCTGTGAATTTGAGGCCAGCCTGGTCTATGTAAGTGAGTTCTGCAACAGCCAGAGGTACATAGCGAGACCCTATCTCAAACTGCACCCCCAAAGCTGCAGAAATGGGGGCTATTTTAAAGCAGTCTGATTTTAAAATGTTTGTCACTTAAGTAAAAACTGTTGAACTGTGAGCGAATGTGGCCAGTAAACCATTTGTAACTTTTTCATTTCATGCTGGCGTTGTCCTTTCAGCGAGAATAGATGTGATTGAGTCCTGGAGTAGTGCCTATCTGCCCATACCTCCTGGTGGGGCTCACCACACGAAAGCCCTAGTAGTGCATACAACACCAGGCTGGAGGGCACCCCGGACTCACCTCCCTTACCCTGTACTTACAGGGGAGCTCTTCGCCCAGGCCCCAGTGGACCAGTTTCCTGGCACAGCTGTGGAGAGCGTGACTGACTCCAGCAGGTACTTCGTGGTCCGCATTGAAGATGGAAATGGTATGCATGGGTCTGGAGGGCTCTTCTGAGCAGAATCCTTGCCCCCAAAACAAGAGATTGATGGCTGTCACCCTTCTAGGGCGACGTGCTTTTATTGGGATTGGCTTTGGGGACCGAGGGGACGCCTTTGACTTCAACGTGGCATTGCAAGACCATTTTAAGTGAGTACCTCTTGGGACACGTATTCTTGTCTCTTCCTTCTTTCCAAGACAGAACCGTTCTTTCTGGTTATGAAGTTAAACGTCTGCTTTGTCTGTTAGCAGCCCGTCAGTCTTCTAGGTTGCCTTCTCTGCTCTGCTGGTCCCCAAAGCTGTGTGCCACCTATGTCAGCTGGCCTATGCTTTTCAGTGTCCTAACTCTTCTTCAGCAGCCCCTGAGCTGCCAGAGTCCTCGTCAGGCTCCTGTGGCTCTAAGGCTTTGCTACTTTATAATGTCACAAGTAGAACTAACATTTCCAGGGCACCCTCAGGACTCTGCTTCTGACTGATGGTAGCTGGGTAGTGCCTGCCATTTGTGTGGACCTCCCTGTCCCAGGTGGCTGCTAGTAGCATTGTAGGAGGGCAGGCGGCATTCTGCTGCTCTTTGCTTTTAGGCATCTGTCCTGTCTTAGAATATAGGAGTGTCCAGGTGGAGCCAGAGGCACAGGCCATGCCCAGGGCTAGAGGGAAAGGGTAGGTTCTCTCCCCTCCTGGGTACCATGTTTGAACGAGCTTATCCAGTTCTCAGAGCAGTGTTAAGACCTTAGAGTCTAACCCAGTGGCCCTCAACCTTCCTGGTGCTGCAGCTGCAACTCTTTAATACAGTTCCTCATCTTGTGGTGACCCTAACCATCAAATTATTTTTGTTGCTACTTCGTAACTAAATTTGCTACTTTTATGAGTGTAATGCAAATATCTGCTATGTGATCCCTGTGAAAGGATCATTCAACCCCCAGTTGAGAACCACTGGTCTAAAGCATGGTGCTGATAAGGGAGCTGATGTCTGTACAGCTGCTAAGGGTTTCAGAGCTGGCATCTGGACTGCTGGTTGGGAAGGTGGCCTCAGCACAGGCCTCCTGGACTGGAGGCCTTGTGTGTGAAGGCAGGGTAGCTGCTGTTCCTGCCTCACCTCTCTTTTCCTGGCCCTCTCCAGGTGGGTGAAACAACAGAGTGAGTTTGCAAAACAAGCCCAGAACCCAGACGAAGGCCCCAAATTGGACCTGGGCTTCAAGGAGGGCCAGACCATCAAGATCAACATCGCAGTGAGTCCTACCCTCACTTGACTGTGTGGGCCATGGTTTTGTGACTCTTGAAGCCACCCAGCCCAAAGCCTCCCAATCCCCCGAATCCTTCATAGTTTACTTCCATCCATGTAGCCATAGTTGACCCATCAGTTTGGCCTCGTTCACCCCAGGGTACCAGGCCTCTGCTTCCATGGCTTTCCAAGTTGAGCTGGCCATGTACAGATGCGATTGCAAAATGGCAGGAGAGCAGCCCTGCTACTAGGGCTTCTGGAGGAAAAACACATGGCCCATAATGCAGGAATCCATGGAAGCCTTCTTGGAAAGAGTGGCCTGTGGGCGGGCATGAGGGATCAGAGGGTAGCCACTCAGTACCAGTGTTTCTGTCCTGGCTGATGGAGTGATCAGGAGGTTCAGTGTGCTTATCTCACGCTGTATCTTGGCCTCATGCCTGAGTGAGGAAGGTTTGGGAGCACACTGTGCTGGAAGGAATCGTGGATGGATGCTGAGAGCCAAGGCAGCTTCTGCTGGTGGTACTGTCCTGGCTCCTTGAGTCTTCTTCCTGTGTGGCTTTGCATCCAGCATCCCCTGCCAGCACTTGTCATGGTGAACTGGGTGCCCAGACATGGTCTCTCCCTGGCTGCTGGAGTAGAGGGGTCGGTGGAATTGGAGGGCATTGGGGGAACCAGGGCCAAATGGGTCTGTTTGGAGGAAGCGTGTGACTCTGAATTGCTTGTCCTCTTTACTCACCGTTTCTTTCTCTTTCCTGCTTCATGCTGGTGATGCTTTGGAACCTTGACGTTGGCCAGCTGGCCCTTGAGAGAAAATGCAAGGCCAATCCAGTGGACTAGTGGCACTGTGATTCTTTCTCTTGCTTGGAAGACACTAACATTTAATGAGCGCCAGCTGTGGGCCAGGTAGTGTTTTCAGGCATTTCTCATATGGCTTCAGGATGTCCCTTTGTAAAAGATGAGAGATTGAGGCACAGAGCTGGGGGGGGGGACTTGGCCAGGGTAGGAGAATTAGAAATAGTTGGCCCAGCTGGATGCACGTGGAGGATGCTGAGTCTTCCACCCCTGCCACACTGTGCTCACGCAGAGCTGCTGTCCTCATCCACGTGGCTCGTGCCGGTTTCCGGCTCACACTTGGTGCTCAATGCTTTATTATGTTGTGTCGAAGTGTCACGTGCAGAAAAGTGCTCAAGTTATAAAACCGAACAAAGGGCTGGGAAGATAGATGTTGCAAGCCGGACAACCTAAATTCAAGACCCACATAAAAAGCAAAAAGAAATGCTGGGTGTGGGAAGCACATGCTTGTAGCCCAGTGCTAGGGAGACAGACTGGAAGGTCCCTGGTGCTCACTGGGCAGCCATCCTCACCTAAGTGGTGAGGTCCAGGGCAGCGAGAGATGTAGACTCGAGGTGGCTGGTGTTTCCACCGAAGATGGCACTCAGGGTCAACCTCTGGCCTGCATACTCACATGCATCCTCAAGCACATGTGTGAACACACACACACACACACCCTACCTTCAAAGCATGGGACTTCCCTAGGTCAGGAACCACACACACACACACACACACACACACACACACACACACCCACCTTCAAAGCATGGGACTTCCCTAGGTCAGGAAGTAAAAGACTGTGTTGGGAGCCCTTGTCCTACCCACTTCTGGTAGCTTCCTGCCCTGACTTCAGATACCCTGGATTGGGTCTGTGCTTCGCTTTTGTGAGTTGTGTGGGAGAATTAATCCTTTCGTATATGATCCCCCTCATTCAGTGTCATGTTGTAAGAGTTTCCCATATTGCTGCCTGGGTGGTTTGTCCTCTGTGATGGCACATGCCATTGTGTGTGTGCTCCTAGCTCATCTGTCTCACTGAGGATAGACACTGGGGGGATGCCATCTGGTGAGCTCCAGCTGGTGCTGCTGTGAATGTTCAAGCTCATGTCTTTGTGGAGCACATGTGTCTAAGGATGAGACCTCAGAATCCTGTGATGCGCTTAGTGGATGCCTTTGGCTTCTTCAGCAGAGTCCTCTGACCGGCTTCCCTTACCCCACTGTGCATGAATGTTGTGGCCGCTCCGTCCCTGTCAGTACTCTGCAGTTTTCATGGGGCAGAATGGTGTGTGGCTGTAATTGTTGTGTACTTTCCTTATGAAAAGTGAAATCAGGTGCTGGGTTTTAACATCGACGGCATTGGTGCTAGATGGAAAATTGGGATGGCCTGGCTATAGCTCCTGCTGCTGCTGAATGGGACTATCGTTTGCTGTACAGATGCTGAGGACTGGAGGTCTCCATGGGTTTTTCCAGTACATGATGACTGTGGCATGATGGCTGATTTGCATTCTTCTCTTCTCTTTAGAACATGAGAAAGAAGGAAGCAGCACCTGGGACGCCAAGAACCAGGCCTGCCAGCACAGGAGGGCTGAACCTGCTGCCCCCTCCTCCAGGGAGCAAGACCTCCACTCTTATCCCTCCCCCTGGGGAGCAGTTGTCTTTTGGGGGCTCTGCAGCCCAGCCAGCAGTTATTTCTGTTTCAGGTGAGTGCTGGGGTGACCCCTGCATCTGTAGCTGGCAGCTGTGATCTTGTTGCTTCCCTTTCTCACACTCCCTGTGTGTGTGTAGATGGTGGCTCTAGAGTGTGTCTTGCATACACTTGACGTTCTTCTATTTCCTGGCCTTTCTCCTTCCCCTTCAGGACATCTGTCCTGTCCTGGTAGGCAGTGACTGTGAAGTTCTCAGTGTTCAGGTGTCTGGGCCTCAGTGTGTTATCAAGTAGTCTGTGCCCAGATGTCATGGGAAAGGTGAACCACAGGTGCACAGGCCAAATGTATCGGGCCCAGGTCACTAGGGCCAGCAACATCCCCCTTGGGGGACTTTCCGGAGGAGCTTAGACTATGAAGGAAAGCCACTCGTCAGAGGTGTTGGCATTCTAAGTAGAAAGAAGAGTGAGACCAAGGCTCAGGTTTTGAGAAGCACTGTTCTGAGGTCGATGCAGCCATTAGTGTGCCATGTGAGCAGGAGACACCACTGGGGAGATCTGGTGTGGGCTCCTTGGTGCACCAGCAAGAGCTGGGAAGCTGAGAGGCTGCTCCCAGTGGGCAGTGCTGGGGAGCTCTTTCCCTATACTTCCCCAACAAGCTGGGATAGTCACCAGCCCTTTTCCACAGCATTGTCAGCAGGTTTGGAGTGATGCACCTAGGCAGGAGACCTTCCTGTGCTCCTGGTTCTTAAAGAGTCTCTGATATTGGCTCCTCTCTCTAGAGGTCAGGCCCAACCTCAGCCATGCGAGCTTGGCCAGGAGACTGCCAGAGTTGAAACCAGTCTCTGCCCGGCATCAGGAAATGCTTCTTCTGGCATTATGTTCAGAGTGTGCTCACAGGACACCGGCTGTGGCATTGCCAGGGCAGGAGCAGCAGTCTGGATGCTTAGGACATTCTTGTGTGTGTCTCAGCCTTCCCTGGTTCCTGGGCCCTGTCTGAGTGCATGTGCAGGATTAGGCCCAGGAGATAGCATAGGACAAGTGTTCCTTGACTTGGGATGGATGGAGTAACATTCTGATAAACAGGTGGAACATGCATTAACACCTTCATAAACCATAAAAAAGCAGAAAAACCAAATCCAGCATCATTAAGTCAGGACCTTTTGTACAGCATGGAGTCCTTGCTGTCTGTGGCTTCCATCCTAGTGCTCACAGTGTGCAGTAAGACGGTGTTAGACAGTCGGCCGGCTGCCATCTGCTGCTGCTGTTTACTGGAGCCACTGGGGCAGAATATAGACTAGCTTGTTGTTTTTGAGCTCCTGCTTCTCTGTGCCTGTTTCCCTACCTGTAGGATGAGGTAGTGATGATGCTTTATGGTGAAGTCACCTGAGCTAAACCAGGGGCCAGTCTGGGCTCATTGGCATTTTAGTCACACCGTGTGTTGGGCCTGAGCTGAGCATGCCCAGACTGTGAGCTCATTCTGCCCTGTGAAATTGTCCTATCAGCCAAATGAGAGATAAGAAAACTGAAACTCAAATGACCTGCATAGTCACATAGCTAATCCCGGCCTGACCTCCTGTAGGGGCTGTAGTAAGGTTCAAATGAGATAGTGCATGCTTAGCACTCAGTGAACTGTGAAGTGCCCCATTGGGGACCTTGGTTTTATCTGATTTTTCAGCCCAGGGCAGATGAGAAATGGCAGCCTAGGAAAGGAGTAAGCCTGCCCCAGCAGAGAGAGGTGCAAGGCCGGCTTCTGTGTGGCTTCCACTGGAAGGCTCTCCCTGGCAGTGTGTGACCTATGGCTCTTCCCACTCCAGAAGCCAGGGCAGGACACGGGTGTGACTTGTGTACTCTGGCACCCTTCCCTCCACCTTGTATGTGGCTCCTGCTTTCTCTCTAGGGGCCACCAAGGACCCATGAAAAAAATGGTGGAAACATGGCTCTCTCTGGACTTGTTTGTTCCCAAAACATGTCTTCCTGTGTCTCGGCTGGCTGAGGTTATGAGACTGGCAACCTGTTTTCAAAATTTAGTAACTGAGACCACCAGAAATGTATCTCTGACTTTCCTGTCTCTTTTCTCCCTCACTGGGGACATCACTAGGAGGTGCCACAGAACCCTGGCCACAGTCTAAGCCTGCTGCCACCACCACTGCTGATATCTGGGGCGACTTCACCAAATCCACAGGGTGAGGAAGGTAGCTTTCTGGGCTGGGTGGGGCCAGAGCTGTTCTCCTGAGTCCCCTGGAATTGCTGGTTTAATCTGCTGGGAGACTAGCTCTGGTTGGGCATTTTCATGGCAGACATGGGACAGAGCCCCTGCCTTGGATGGCTTACCACCCTCTTTATAAAAGCTTTATACCTGTGGCCTGAGACCTCTTGCAAACTCGTTTGGTTCTCACCAAGTGCTGCCCTGGTCAGGAATCAAGACCCATATTTTAAACCTTGACCATCTTCACAGGACCTTTGAGGCAAGGCATCTCCTGAGCTTTATGGCCTACCTTTGGGGTCAGTGTGGAAAGATGCCAGATTCCTGTCATCGGGGTATATGGGAGGTTCTGGAGCCGTCAGCACAGGCCTGTCTTCTGTAAAAGAACAGACAGCTAAAATCCACACATAGACCAGATTGGATCCTTGAGTCCCATCTGCTGTATGCCCAGTGTGTCTGCTCTCCAACAGCTGGGTACTGCAACCCTCCCTGTCTTCTCTTCACAGGTCGTCGTCCTCCAACCAGTCTCAGCCAGGCACCGGCTGGGTCCAGTTTTGATGCACAACTTTTTCTTCATGACTTCTGGGAAGGAGCTGCCTCATCCAGGCCCACAGAAGGAGGCAAAAGGCTCCTTGGCTAGCCCCTGGAGCGTCATTGTCCTCTCCTTGCCTGGCTCTCCTGACAGCCTGAGCACAAGAAGCGGTAAATTGGCACCACATGACATGCCACTGTTGTGGGGGTTCAGGTCCTGCACAGCCAGAAGACAGGAGCAAACACTCCAGGGCCCCCCAGCCCGCCCCTCCTCCTCATGGGAGGGACCCAGACCTGCCTTCTTTCACGAAGTGATCCTTATTAAACACAACCCCTAAAGCACAGAATGGGTTGAGTTTGTGGCCTGGGTTCAGCTCTGCCCGTCGGGTTGGCAGGAGTCCCAGATTTCACTGTCAGGCTGGGGACTCTGCACACTGTCCACAGTAGCCCTTGTCGGGTGCCTTCCAGAGGAGTCCTTTCTGGTTGCTAGCAAGTTTTTGAGCTGCATCTTGAGTGGGCTGTCAGGGACACTGGAAGGATAAGCAGCTTTTTGAAAATGTTAATACATGCTCTGCTAATATGCTGACCAGCACTAACGTGCCCTTGCGAGGGACCCACCCTGGTGAGGGGCTCTCACACACCCTTCTCCCTGCCCTGAGCCCCAGAGGCAGCAGTGAGAGTCAGCCTCCATACCTGGTTTCCATGTCTTCAGTCTCCCCCTCAGGTAGGGAGGTTCTGGAAGCCTGCTGGGCTCTGTTGTGGGGAAGTTGAAGTATCATAGATTGGGCCAGCCTGCCTGTCTTCTGCTTCTGCGCTGGACTCAGGTTCAGAGTCCTTCCCTGGTGGCTTCTGGAGGGACCAGCTATCTGTATATACCCTCTTTTTTCCCTTCAAAGACTGTGACAGAAGGAGCTTTGTTAGTTGGAAGTCCTGGCCACCAGGAGTAGTTATCTATAAGAAACCATTGTCTCTTCAGTGCCTCTCTGACGTTTCTTTATAGACTTAATCTTACCTTCAGTTGAAAGGTTTCTTTTCTGAAGGGTCAAGACCATGAACTGAAAGTCGTTTTGACCTTGTGGGACCAGAGTTTTCAAGATGGAAAAAAAAATAAATGTTTTTACTTGTGTAGCATATGTCAGATGGATGTGTTTTTGGCAGCATGGCTGCTCAGCTCTCGGGTGCCAGGGCATCATGTCAAGGGTGGCACACACCTTAGCATGTCTAGAGGAGTCTTTCCCATCCTCGTGGCAGTTGGAGTCACTAGTGCAGACTGATTGTGTCATAGACCTTCAGTGGGCAAAGCTCTGGAGAACCTTCTCTCCATAGACCACACCACACAAGCCCAAGTGTGAAAGGGTGCATGTACGCAGAGACCAGGCAGAAAAATGTTAAAAAAAAAAAAGAGCTGCTTAAGCCTGAAGGATCTGGACAGAAGGCTTCGGGATCCTGCCCACTAAACACAGGAAGATTGTGTCAAAGGGGCCTGGCTTCAGCATTACATTGCTACCCAACTAAGTGAATGTCCTCTGTGTACATGGCGGCTGAAAATCGGAAAGTGCAGGACCTGTAGCGTTCCCGTAATTAAGAAGTCAGCCAGATGTGATGGTACCTACCAGTATCATCAGCCAGATGTGATGGTACCTACCAGTATCATCAGCCAGATGTGATGGTACCTACCAGTATCAGCCAGATGTGATGGTACCTACCAGTATCAGCCAGATGTGATGGTACCTACCAGTATCAGCCAGATGTGATGGTACCTACCAGTATCAGCCAGATGTGATGGTACCTACCAGTATCAGCCAGATGTGATGGTACCTACCAGTATCAGCCAGATGTGATGGTACCTACCAGTATCAGCCAGATGTGATGGTACCTACCAGTAGTTCCGGTACTCAGGAAATGGATGTGGGAAGATGGCGAATGACAGGTCAGCCCTGGCTACATACTGAGAGTTGGCATGAGACTATTATAGGAGCTGGAGAGATGGCTCAGCACTTGAGTGTATACTGCTCTTGCAAAGGACCCAAGTTTGCTTTCTAACTCCCAGGGCAGCAGCTCACAGCTACGTTTAGCTCCAGCTCCAGAGAGAGCCAGTGACTGGTTTTTCTGCCCACTTGCACTCATGCACACAGACATGCACGAACACACTTTCCCTTCTATGTGCTTTTATGTTTATGGGTATTTGCATGAATCTATACGCCTGTATAGAGAAGATGTCAGCTCTCCCAAGACTAGAGTCACAGACAGTTGTGAACCATCAAGTGGGTGATGGAAACTGAATGAGGATCTCTGAAAGAGCTGTCAGTGCTCTTAACTACTGAGCCATCTCTCCAGCCCCACTGATTTTTAAAAAAGTATTCTGGGCTTTGGATCTAGGATGTCCCTTTGTTGGTAGTGTGGCCACTGCACTTTTTTCATGTGTCAGGTGTTTTCCTCAATTGCGCTCCACTTTATTTAATATTTTGGCTTTGTTTTGCATGAGAACATTCTGCCTTCATGTATGCCTGAGCACCACCACGTGTGTGTCTGATATCACCTGAGGCCAGCAGAGGCTTCTTACTCAAGGCCTCATTTGATGAGCCTGCCAACACTTTACAGCCTTACAGAGGATCAAGAAAGCTGGCCCTGTACTGACCTGTGGAAGTGGTACAGTGTTTGCAACTGGACTGGGGCTATCGCTTGACAGGAGTTGAGGTCTGGGGTTCTAACTGCTGCACTACAAAGAGGCAAGCATAAGAGATGTGTGGGGTTCAGCTGGAAGAGGGCCTACCTAGCGTTCTACCGTGCATAAAACTCTGGGTTTGATTCTCAGCACTTAAAACTACCATGATGGTACAGTCCGTAATCCATGCATCTGGGAGGTAGAGACAGGAATTCAATGGTAGGTACCATCAGAAATTCAAGGCATTTTCAGCTACGTAAGTAGTTGGAAATTAGCTTAGGCTACATGGGGCACTGTTAATAAGCAGCAACAGCAGTAGGTGCGATGCACACTTGTAATCCCAGAACTTGGGAGGCAGAGACAGGAGGACTACTCAAGTTTGAGGCCATCCAGAGTTACATAGGGATTCCAGACCAGCCTGGAATAGACCTTGTCTCAAAACAGCAGAAAGCCAGCCTTGCTGCTTCCATCTTTCTGAGAGGTCTAGATAGGCCTCAAGGGCCAGAATCCTTGCTGCGTGCCACTTCTGGTGGCTCCAGGTGTCCCTTGGTTTGTACAGTACAATGCTTGTCTCTGCTGCTTTTTGCTTGGCATTCAGTCCATGTCTCTGTGTCCCCTCTCCTTGTTGGTATACCCATCATTGGATTTAGTGACCCTTATGATTCTGGGATGTCATCTTAGAAATCCATAACTAATTACAGCTCCGGGGTTTCTAAACTGTTTTTCTGAACAAGTTCAAACATAAAGTACTGGGGGTTAGGACTTGAACATAAATTTTGAGGGGGGCTGTTCAGTACTCTAATAACTAGTGTCCTTAGAAGTTACATAAACATGCAATTAGCGCTCATTCACTTAGAGGCGGATATTATAAATGCTTGGCCGATAGCTCAGGCTTGCTACTAACTACCTCTTACAACTTAACCCATTTCTGTTAACCTATGTGCTGCCCCGAGGTTCATGGCTTTTACCTCTATCCCATTTTATGTGTCTGACTTGTTA